CCGAACGAAGCGAATTATCTTGCCGTTGCGCAGGTTATTATGCAAATCGATGCAATACCCAGAAAAAGAAAAGGAAAAAGAGTTAAAAAGAAAAAAAAAGAAAAAAAAGAAGAAAATGAAGAAGCCAGAAGGAGAATAGTAGAGGTAGTGATAAGTACAGGTAGCATAGTAGCAGAACGTAAAAGAAGAGTGGGAGGGGGGGGGGTGAGAATGAAGAGGTAGGGGTTGGAAGGTAGTGTTAGGAATATAAAGAAGAAAGAAGTTTTAAGGTAAAATAAGTGGCCTGAAAAATAAAACGAACAGAATAAGAAGAAGAAGAAGACAAAAAATGGAAGGGGATAGGACAAGAGGTGATTGGAGTGGGGGAAGGTTGTGTTAGGAATAGAAAAGGGGCCTTTTTCCAAATGTGTGAGTTTCCTTCTCGAAAGTACTTTCCTTTTCCAACATTTTACGTGAACCAGGTTCGGCGTGGGCAGCTGGCGCTTACTCGGGGATTTGCGATAAAATTTATGTTCGATTCCAGCTAACACCATGAGAGAGAGAGAAAGAGAGTGTGAGAGAGAGTCTTACTATGCCCTGCCATTTCTCTTACCGATTTACAACAGTCCTCTTTTCTCTTTTCCACTTCTACATTCTTCCTCACTCACCCCCCCTCCCAATTCTTCCATGTTCTTTCTCTACCCTTCTAACTCTACTTCCTACCAACCCCCACTTTCAGCCTACTTCTTCAAACCCCCTTCCCCCAAAAACCTTTTGCATCTTTCAACTCTACAACTGGCAAAGAAAAAGACAGAGAGACAGAGAGAGAGAGAGAGAGATATACATAAGTTTTACACAAACTTTTCTTACAAAGGGGGTTGGAAGGACACACACTGTTTTCCATAGCAATCTCTAACCAAAAGGTTTTATCGTTTGGACGTGTAACTTTAGTTTTTTTTTTTTAGATATCTTATTACACAAGATAAAAAAAGTGAAAAGAAGAATAGAATATAATGAGATTGGTATGGGGTTGTATTACGTAAGAAGGGTATTATTTTTTAATAAGGAAGGAGGGTTGCAATATAAGAATTAAATTGGTTTATTTTTTTTTTTTTTTTAGTTTTTAAGTGTTGCATTATATTATTTTTATTGTATTTTATTATTTTCCTACTGATGCAAGTTTACTAAGGATGCAAATATATTCAATTATATATATTTTTATGAAATTAGTTTTATTTCGTGTATTTTTTATTTCAATTTAAAATACAGGATACTTTTAATCGCGTATATTTTGTAATTTTTATCGCTAATTGAATGATTCATTATTTTAAGGTTATCTAAGTTTCTAAGTACTGTCAGTTTTCAATAGATAGCGCTGTATTACAATTCAATTATCTCGATATACATACGACTTAACCTTACTTTTTATTATTTTATGCATTCCAGTTCAATTTGAGTATTATTTTGTGTATTATAATTTACTAAATAGTTTAGAATTATATTAAATACAACAACGAATAGCTACACCCACCCTAGTACACATATATATTGATATTGCACACAAGGTTAAGGTGTTTAAAGGTTGACATTGAGGATTTTTTTAAGCTCGTGAAGAATGATCGTTTAGCAGTGGCGACTTTTGGAGAATAAATGATCGTTTGGTAATACGTAGAAGGTGATGGTTGGTAGTAATGGCTTGAAGGTTTCAAGGATAAATAACGATCGAACGTCAACGTTAACGTTCATTTTTCCTTGAGAGTTTAACAAAAAAAACTCGACCTAATGTGCGAGCAACATTTATTTCCTTCCTTTTTCATATATTTTTTAAACAATTACTCATGTCAGTCACTTATTCTTCTAATGTTTTATCTATCAAAATAATAATCGGTCGTTCAATTTGAAAATTGTCCTTTCGTTTTTTACATATCACCATGTATATCTATATATCTATATATATATTTAAAGGTTGTAATGCATTTTACTGGCATTCATTGCACTTGTGCGAATGTTAAAATACGTCCAGGGCTTTCGGGGCGATGATTAAATGCAACGTCGACGAGGAGGATGCAGATGTCGTAACAAAATTTGTCACGTTCCATACACGTTATAATTAAATGCCGTAGTCTGGAATTAATGAAAGTTATAACCATAGATGGGTAGTAGGGATTTCTCTTACCTGTTAAAAATAAACCCTCCCTCTGCGTCCCTTTGAACGATTCAACAAATAGGTTAACGTTTATCCCATTTCTTTTAAAAAAGAAAGATATAAAAATTAAGTGTCACAATATGTTTGTCCACTAATAATTCAGAAATTACTTAACCAATGTTAATGAATTATTATTTTTATTTTACATGTGCTTGTTCAACTTAAAATATAGGATAGTTTTTATTGAGATTATTTGATATTTTTTATTACTAATTTAAGGATTTATTATTTGGTAGCTATCTAGGTCTCTAAGTACTGCAAATTTTCAGGTTATGTAGGTGGCGTTATATTACAATTCAATTATTTTGATATACATACGACATAACCTTATTTTTTACATTTTTTTTTGTATATTAAATAATTTAGAATTATATTAAATCAACATTTTTTTTATAACAAAGCCACAACAAGCACTCTAGTATACATATATACATATATAATATAAAATAAAATACATATATATATATATAATAAAACTCAAGGACGTTGTTGAAGGAAAAAAGAGATAGAGAGAAATATTTGCAAGCTTGTTGTATAACAGAAATCCCAGTCTGGGATAAACTTACTACTTTCGTTGGTAGAAATATAAAAAGAAGAAGAAGAAGAAGAAGAAGAAAGAAAGTGTCTCTACCCTTCAGAAGCGTCCTATCTAAAAAGGGGTGGGGAAGGGGAGGGAAGAGAGGAAACTTTGTTATGCGAAATGAATATCCGGTGTATAGGGGGAAAGTTTTGTTGAAGAAGGAAGGAACACGAAAGATAGATAAAGAAACTGACAAAGATGGAGACAGAAATGAGAGAGAAAAGGATGAAAGCTGTCCATAGATAAGGGGAAAGGGGGGAGGTGGGAGGTGAAGTGGGTTTGGTTTGGGGATGGGGGAGAAAGACTCGGGGGTTGGAAGGAAGAAGTTACTTGGGATGGAAAACTTTTTAACACAAAAGGCGTGCACGGCTATCAAGCATATTGTTCCGTAACGATTTCAAAAGCCCTACGGGGGGTGGTGGTTGTGGTGTTGGTTGTGGTGATGGTGGTGGTGGTGGTGGTGGATGGTTTGAACGATTTCGTCTAAAGTTTTCCCGAATTATTTCATGGGATTATAACAAACAACAAAGCAAAAAATTGCACTATTTGAAACAATACAAAATGAACCCTCGAACTTTTGTTATTCACCCTAATGGAAAAATATAAAAATATTAACATTTAAATTATATTTTTTGTTTATTTATAAAAAAACAATTACAACACATTTGTATCCACGTTGATATACTTTCAATTACCGATCACATAATTAGCGTAATACGTTGGAAATACTAGTCACTTGGTGTAATAGCAAATCCGTAGAAATAGGTTGTCAAAATGAGAGAGGTGGGGTGTAGTAAGGGGTTTTGCGTGGACACTATGATCCAAAGGGGTTGCTGCTTGCTCGACTCTATACTATTATAGTGTAATCTCTATTCAGAACCGCCAACAAGTTTGCCAACGTCCCACCATCTAAGCGCCATGGGGCACCTATAAGATCCGTTAACAGGACACCTCTAACGTCGTTTATATTCAAGGGCTGAATTCTCGGCGACCGTGTGAGAATTACACCAACCCCCAACCACCCTCTTTCTCGTCCCTAGAAACTGTTGTTGCTAGCCCTAAATCGATAAATCGTCAACAATTTCTGATAGTTATTTTATTAATGATATATTTTTTACATGGATTGCATAAATGTTAAACCAACCGAACCCATCTACCTGGCCACCTACATAGACGCGTGTTACTTACCGTAAAATATCGTACATCTTTAATAAAAGATGAAAAAAAAACGTATTTTAACATCGATACGTTCCACTTTTCATTTCACTACTATAATAAAGTATTATCCATCGTCTAGATCGATGAGTTTCATCGAACAAGGTAATCTTCTTCTTGGAACGATCGTAAGTTATAAGTCAGAAAGTAGGTTCCCTACCCTCCCCATCCTCCTTCTCCTCCTCCTCCTCCTCCTCCTCCTCCAGCTCATTCCTAAACGTTACTATGAATAGATGCGTATTTCTTTTCCAACATTTAATAGTAGTTGTAGTACTAGTAACTATATGTATGTTTCAAACACACGTGTGTTAAGATTAATCGAGTAAACCTGGTACAGCAACGATGAAGCTTAAGTTTCGAATCCAATATCTCCTTCAGCTTCCAGCTTTCCAACAAGAGAGAGAGAGAGAGAGAGAGAGAGTGGAAGCTTACCACGAGACTTAGCTTGACCTAACCTTTATTGCTAATTCCTAAAAATGATACATTTTTTACAATATCAAAACCTTTAAACAACGAGATTGGTTTATTTTTTTGAAAAAATGATTATTTGGAATATTTTTATTTCCTATGGTAGTTAGATGTCTATCTATCTATCTATCTTTCTATCTATTTCTCTGTTCATGTTCTCAGAATCAATATTCACGAAAGCGGAAAAGCATTTCTAAGCGTCTGCCGAACCGGAACGAAATTGCTGATGCGCTTGGTTTACAAGAACACACCGTCTCGTTGTATAACCCCTTGATCCCGAGCATCCTTCTTCTCGGAATGCAAATTTAACCCTTACTGGTATAAGCTTACAGTATAAGCTTTAGGCCATGCCTAGATTAATCATACTTCTACTATTTTTTTACATTCTCATTTTTATCTTTTCTATATCCGAGCTATCTAAATTGTAAGCTATCTAAAACGTTTTTAAAAGATGATAAATCCTACAAGATGAAAAGTAACTCTGACATATGTTGGAACAATGAGATATGAATTGTTCATGAAAATAACAAAATGATGATTTTGTTGTTGCAGATGTAGCGGCATCGGTAGAGGTCCATTTCGAGAACAAAGATGGTGGATTCTTTCTGAAACACACACCAAGATCATTTTACCCAACTAGGACGGATACGATACCAGCGATAGCTGCATCGTCAACGGGTACAAGCGTTGGAAGCGTATCAGGATCATCTAACAACGGGGGTACTGTGCCATCATCACCACCAGGTTCAGTCTTATCAATAGACAAGTTCACGGTGTTTCAAACAAGCGAACCAGTTTCAGTACGAGCTAGTTACGGTCCCTTTAGCACGAAACAGACCGTACCAGCCCGTTATATCGTACCCGATCCATTGGATGCATTACCAGGACCGGAGACAAGACGCAATTTGACAGCGGCTACGATAATGGATGCTCAGGAATTGGGTGCTAGACATCTAGACATGTCCGCACATTTGGTTCGTAATAGTGTGCCTAGGGATGCACCGGTCCTTAGGGTTTTGTTCCATGCTGGAAGTGAAGCCGGTGGTAGAAGACAATTACTTTTGGCACGTCATCAAAGAGTATGCGTTGTCCTCCACGCTAGTTTGGCTGCACCATTAAGGAACGTTAATAACAGTGGAAGAAGAGAATATTCAAGCTCATCAGGTTCTTCTTCTTCTTCATCGTCATCGTCCTCATCTTCATCGTCATCGTCCTCATCATCGTCTTCATCGTCTTCGTCTTCTTCTTCTTCTTCTTCTACTACGTCATCCAGCTCAAGTAATTCCGTTTTAACAGCAGCCTGCAGTCCCGACGGTGAAAACGGAGTTTGTTTGGCCCAAATAACAATACCTGCAAACTGGTGGGCACAATTACCGCCTCCGGATCCTTCCGGGCGTGTCAAGGTCGCCAAGACTTTACCAAGATACGTACAGGTAGCTTATTCCGTGCTGGAACCTCGTACCGAAGAAATTGCCTCAGGTAATTCGGACGGTGGTACGGCAGCTTTCTGTCGGCCTCGTGTACAAATTCAACCGGTGACGCCATTAGGCCAAGTACAACTTGTATCCAATCGTGAGGCCTACAAAGAATTAAAGACAGATGATTCTCTCACTTTACTCGTACCTCATGGCCCGTTATATCCAAGATCAAGGCTACACGTTCCGGTCTTCCTAAATCCGATCAAATTGTCCGAAAATCTCAGAGAGGAATTGGTCAACACCGTCGTTCTCAGGTAACTTATCTAATTGTTTCATTTTTTTTTATCTTTATACACATTTAGTGTCACAATATGTTCGACCACGAATAATTCCGAGATTACTGAACCGATTTTAATGACTTTTTTTTTATTTTTTGTGATTTTTGTCAATTTAGGATATAGGGTAGTTTTTATCGCGACTATTTGGTATTTTTTATTACTAATTTAACGATTTGTTATTTGGTGGTTAGCTAAGTTTCTAAGTACTGTAAGTTTTCAAGAGATGGCATTGTATTACAAGTCAATTATTAGGTTATATACATGTCATAGGTTTTTTTATTTTATATCATATGCTTTTACTTTTTTAAGAGCTAGATAAAATATATTATAGAATACTTATACAAAGAAATTTAACTCTCTTTTCTTTATTTTTCTTTCTTTCTTTTGCTATTTTTTAAACGAGCAACTTTTATTCTGTAGCGTGCTTTTGTAAAGTCATAAATTATGAATTCCTATAGTAAGAATTTCAAAGCAAAAGATCGAGGTTCTCGTTTTGAAAAAGAAAGATAAATTGATAGAAAAGAGAGAGAGAGAGAGAGAGAGAAAGAGAGAAAGAATATCTTGATTTTACATTGTAACAATTCGACTTTTACGAATACACTCGAATTACTTTTTTTTTCTACTTTCATTTCTGATACGTTCCGTTTTCCTGATTCAACTCATTTTTATTTGGATAAAAATCATTGCGGTCACAGTACGAGAATGAGAAAGAGAAAAGGAGAAAAAGAGAAAAGGGTTTTTCGAGTAAGCGTGTGCAGAAATCTCACGTCGTGCGTATTTCTCAAGAAACTTACCAAGGTTCTGTCACGTTCTCCCCTTAGAGCACTTGCCGTTTTTCGTCTTTCAAGATTCCGCATTAAAGCTTGAGCACCTGCAACGTGTAGATATATAAGTAATATTTCTGAAAAACGTTTCTACCACACATCTCTATCTTTACCATTAGTGTTTTTCCATCTCTCTTTATCTTTTTAACAAACCCCTACTTCATAGATTTTTTATTTTTGTACAAAAAATACCTTTAATAAGGTATTTAGTAACAGGTGATGTTAAGTATCTAGGATTCTTCATTTCAAAATGAGATTTTATTTTTATTTACGTTTATAATAATATTTGTATTTAATTGTGTGAATAATTTAAAATAAAGTATTAATCATAAATAAATAATATTAATTAATTAAATAAAATAATAATATTAAAAATAAGTTTAACAATTGATTAATTATTTACAATTAATTTTAACATTTTAAAAATTAATATTTAACGTTATCTAATTTGTATAGAATTATTTTTCGTTCAAAATAATTTGACACATTTTACATTTTTGAACAAAAATTATTAACAAAGCAAAATAAGATTTGTTTCAATTGAAATATTTGCAATTTTATTCAACGTCATAGGTCAAAGGTTAAATCTCGTTTATTTATCGATCCCTTCCTGATTAATTTAACAAAAAGAAAAAAAAAAAGAAAAAAGAAATCCAAATGTAATATTGACAGAACTCGTTTAATCTGATGAACCACAAAATCGTGTACTTAAACCATTTGACTTTTCAAGAAATCATTAAAGTTCAAACAGTGAAAGAAATAGAATGAAAAGAACTTTGAACAAGGCAACTCTTCTTATTCCTGTTGACTATTACTACTACTACTACTACTACTACTACTACTACTACTTTATGCTATCTGCATTTCTTTCTTACCAATCCGCGTGAGAAGTATAACATCCGGTTAAGAAAAGTGACATAGTCTTTGTCATCGGGTTCTGTATACGCTTTTGACGTGACCCGTTTCACTTGCTGATATCCATGCTGGATAAGAAAGCTCAACGTTATCGGTTACACAAACGGACAACATAGACAGATGATGGTGTCACAAAGAAGTGAAGAAGAACGAAGCGGAAAGGTCAGACGAGTTCATCCCCTTAACTATAATCTTTTTTTTTCTTTATTATTTTTGCATCGTTTCTAAAAAAATAAATGAACAAAAGAACAAACCAAAAATTAATAATCAAAACTATGAATAAAGATTATAAATAATTATTTATATTTTTATTATTATTATTATTATTATAATTTCAATGCTTTGGCATTGTGGTAAATTATTGGATTGACAACTAAGACATTGATAATTTTAAAAAGCCATCTATCGACAAAATCCGCAATCATTCACTTGCTAACTCAACACAACATTTGTGTTGTAATTTTGAATGAAATTTTAGTGATGAAAAATTAATAAATTGTTAATGAAAATTTATAAAAATTCGTATCAAATAATTTAAAATGATTCTAAGTTTTTCTTTTTTTAAATTAAATTAGGCCAATAAGGTTTAAAATAACTTAAGTAACTTAACCTGTAATAACCTAAGACAAATCATAATTCAAACTATAAAAATTCGTACAATTAAATATTATTGCAATTATTTATATTTTTAATTAAAATAAATTAATTTATAAAAATAATTTCAATGACAAAAATTGCAATTTAACATTCATAATTTTCTTTTATTAAATTATTAATAAAAATTAATGAAAATTCTTCTCAAATAATTTGAAATGATTCTGAACTTGAATTTTTCAAAATAAAATTCCATCCAATAAGGGTGTATAAATAGCCCAGAAAATAATTCAATTAAATTGTTATGTAATTGCCATGACATATGATGAAATCAACCCCCTGTTTCATAGGGAAAGAAAATGAAAAAAAAAAAAAATAAGAAGAAGAAGAAGAAGACAAAAGGAAAAGAATAGAAAAAGAGATGATAGAAAATGTAGTTGTAGTCTTACTACAAGCTCCATTTAACATAGCCAACCCAGAACCCTTTTTTTTCTTCTTTCTTTACTTTCCTTTTTTTTTCCTCCCTTCTAGTTTTCTCTTGCACCCTTTAGTAAAGCTGAGCAATGCCATACCATGCCTATTCATTTCTTTATCCCCCTTTTCGAACATAATACAGCACATTAGCCGTTTCCCGCGTTTAACCGCGTACACTTACACAAACTTATGATTCTTTTTTTTTTACACATATACACACATATGTATAGAAATTACAATATGTGAGAAGAACGTTTTAACCTTTTCACGCCTTTTAGTCCTACGTGTGATATTTTATTATTCTTAAATAAAGATTTTATACATACATTTATCTTTGTATTTAAAAATTCAGTGTCACAATATGTTTGTCCAGTAATAATTCAGAAATTACTGAATCGATTTTAATGAAATTTTGTTTTATTTTGTGTGATTTATTGCAATTTAAAATACAGGATAGTTTTGATCACGATTATTTTGTATTTTTTATTGATAATTTAATGATTTGTTATGTAAAAGTTATATAGACTCTAAGTACTGTAAGTTTTGAGTTGGTGGCGTTGCATTACAATTGAATTATTTCAATTTATAGAAGACATAACCTTACTTTTTATTATTTTATGTATTCTATTTTATTTATGGTATTATTTTGTGTGTTATAATTTATTAAATAGTTTACAATTATATTAAATCTATTTATTTTAATTATTATTTATTCTCAACTCGTATTAAAAAAAAAAAGAAATGGGAGAATATAACCGTAGCCATTTATTTCTATTCACTAACACACACAGAAATGATTGAAACGAGTAGTTGGTAGAAATAAGTATCCTATAAGATATTGTGTTGAGTTTGAATAAAGAAATAAGAAAGAAAAAGATTGGGGGGGGTAAAGTTAAGGGATGGTTTTATACTATAACTACAAACATTTCTGTAAATAATATTGTCGTATGTATATATACATATATATATGTGGAATACATCTTATATTAATTTTTATTCGACCATAAGAATTTTCTTTAGGGAAAATAAAGTTGAGTTAACAGTTAAGAAACTATTAAGTACTTTGTTATATACGAATCGTAAATTTTAAACTAATTTGTTTAAGCAAATTCTCCTTGATACTTCGCAAAAGTTTTGACAAGATTTAAATGCTTAACAAAACGTTCGTAAATTACCAACCTGCATTGCGCTGAATTGAACTATTATATACATATATACATACATATGTATATTTATATGTATGAGTATGAAATATATGCATGGAATAATTATCAACAACTTAATACGATATTCAATCAATTCTTTTGTTTCATCGATTGATCAAATTGTTTATAATAAATAGATTGAACGCGTGGGGTGCCCTGTCACACGTTGCTGTGGTTCACAATCAGTCTTTAAGTTTTATACCGATTATAAATTGAGATATAAACTATTCTATCTTTGAAGTTGGATGAAATTTCACACAGTGTGTAAAATTTGATTAAAATCGGTTCAGTAGTTTAGGAGTCCATTGCGGACAAACAACGTGACACTTAATTTATATATATTAAGATAGTTAAATATATTAAAATTATTATAGTGATATTAATTGTATAAAACTAATCACATTGCATTGTTATATTATTAAATATATTATAAAAATAACAAATGTGTATTAAATTAAATTAAATTAACAATTACATTAAATAAATCATTTGTGATAGGAAAAATACAATATTTACTAATGTATATATATATTAGAATTAATATAGTTTTCAATTATTAATTTTACAAAACTAATTATTGCATTTTTATATTATTAAATAATAAATATCAAAAGTATTAAATTATTTCTTAAATATAACACATCACTTTGAGTATTCTGATATATTTCTTTACATGTATATATATACATATATTTCTCTCTCTCTATATATATATGTATATTTCTGTTCCTTTTTTAAGTATTCAGTACTCGTAAGAGATAGTCAGTATCATTGGCGTCGCATAGACGCGTTGTTCAAACTCTTCCGGCATTCGTTGAACATTCGTGTAAGTTCGCATTCATGTAATACCGACCCCGTGACCTGACTCGCATGAATTGGAGCGTAAGTTCCTCTCGGAAGGTTCAAGACACCCAACAAAACGATTTCAAGACGAAGATCATGCGTTCTATAGTCTTCCTATTCTTCCTTTTTTTTATTGTTGAACGAATAAAAGAAAGAAAAAAGTGTTAGGAAACTTCTCTTTTTATTTTTTTTGTTTTCTTTTTTTTTTACATTACCACACCAATTGTAAACGATGTATTCTTACTACTGAAACTACCCCTTATTCTGTTTTTCTTTTTATTTTTATTCGTTCAACCCTTTTTGTTTCTTTTCTATTATCACCAATGAAAAATTCTGGTTTGATAATTGTTTCATTTTTTTTTTTTTTTTTTTTATTGAACGTATTTTCAATTACTTTTTGTTTGTTCGAACTCGTTGATAAAAAAATTATTCTATGATACTGTACAAAATGTTTTTCTATTTATTTTATACAGTATCATTGAAAATAAATGGAAACGTCAATTAATCATGATTGTTATTTAATATCACAACACATTAAGAAGAACAATTAATTAATTAAAATTAATATTAAAGTAAAAGTCAATAAATAAATTAAATTTACACATTTGTAAGTTCACATTGTGATATTTCAATATTTCACATTTTACATTCGTATTTTTTTATTTTAATTACTGACTTATAAATAAATATTATCGAATGTTATAAAATTACGAAATACGTGTACGTAATTGTGATTAATCGAGAAAAATAACAAAATTGATAAACTTTTATCTGTAAAAGTTATATGCCTTTACTACGTCAACGAGACGAATATAAATACAAAAATAATCAAAATACAAAAACGTGGAGTGAAAATAGACGAATTAAAAAACAAAATCAAATAAAATACAATAAAACAAATAAACAAAGTTCTTTTCCTACGAACATAAATGTTGAGAGAATATATGGCTGATGATAAAGTGCAAGAACCGGAACATCGGACCGTAGAAGGAAAAATGGGGATGAGAAATGAGGATAGGGGAATGGGGTGTAGATGGTTGGGTACACGGGGAGAGGGGGAGGGGAGGGGGATGGGTGAGAGAGGGGAAAGGGGGAGGATTTTAAAAAGCTCTCCTTCCTAAAAGAGTACCACTTGACTTTCACTACTACCGTGATCCATAACGCGTTCGTTAAGCTCCTGGGAAGTAATTTTTAACACTTTCGAAATAGAAAAAGAAAAAAAATTCCTAAGTTGTACTTTCTTTCATTTTTCTTTTTTTTTTCTTTTCAAACTCGATATTTAACTTTCTCTGCCCTTTTCTTACTCTGTTAAAATAATATCAGAATCGAATTGTAATTAAAAAAAAGAGAAAAAGAAGACGATTCACAAAACTACAAAAACTTTTGTTAATTTCAATTAACACTTTAATGGCCGCTCACACACAACACGTGTGTCATTGCTGGAACAACAATTATTATTTATTTATATATTTAAAATTAAATTTATTGTTAAATTGTTCGTTATTCTTAACCCTGACGCAACCCTGACACAATCCTGACACAATCCTGACGTTTGACTGCGTACACAAAGTGTTCCAAATCAATTTAATCCAAAAGAAAGAGAAAACAAAATTCAATAACAAATTAATAAATTAAACGATACATTCAACAAATAAAATACAATGAAAAAGGAGTTAATTAATTTGTGTGAGTGTGTGTGTGTGTGTGTGTACTCACTGAAGACGGTGAATATACGTGTTGGAACTAAATTTTATTTAATATTTTTTCAAAAGAAAATTAAAGGACCACATTGAAAATGTTGAGATGAGAGTGGGATACAAATATGTATGAGTAAAATCACGTATGTTACACACACACATACACACATATATATATGTATTAGTATTCTATGCATCGAAAGCAATATTAAAAAGTACGAAAAAGGGATGAAATATTTTCGTGTCGTACCAAACACTCGTTGAACAAAATTGCAAAGCGAAGAACCACGATATTATTGCAATAACTACCGGTCTAAGCCGATACCTAAACGAACACACACACACACACACACATATATCTACATATATATATCATCCTATCAAGCTATTGCAAAAGTACTTTAGTATTGTACCGTAACCATATAACATACTATATATATATATACTATATACAATACGTAGACCGTATTCAACTATGTTCCGTTTTATACCGTACAGTATACAGTACCGGTACTCCCGTACCGTACCGTGCCGCATCCCGTTTGCGGCGATCGGCCGGAAATCCAATACACAGTACTGCTCGCATTTGCGAAGATAACGCTCGGTTGGGAATCGAGAGGGATAATTGGACGAGGTGTGTGTGGAGGGTAGAAACGTTGATGAGGGTTGTAATCGCATTATTCCGAACGCGTTCCTACAACCCCTTCCCCACCTCCACCCTACCCCCACCCACCCCTCAAGAGCGTGCCGGATAATCGTTTTTACAAATGCAAATGCACTCGGCAAAAAGACTCCAACCAATTCCTCCTTCCCCCCCCTCCCTCCCCCACTTCTACTCTTCTGTCCTTCAACCCCCGTGTTTTCTCTCTCTCTCTCACTCTCTCTCTCTCTCTTTACAACGACGAGAAAAAATAAAAAAAAAAAAGAAGGAAAAGAGATGGAAGGATATTACACGTCGTTAAAAACATCCCTTGCATCTACTATTTCGTTAATGATTCGAGTAGTGTGTCTGTTCTACGTGTCACTGTTTCAAAACTAAATTCCAACTACTGCGACAAGTAACCCGTTTACTAACTTGTCTACCCTTTATTTTTTTTTGTGTGTGTTTTGTTTGAGTTTCTTTATTTTCCTTTCTAATTATCGGTTTCCTTTTTTTGTAGTTTACACCCTATTTTTATTTAGTTTTATTATATGATGTTATACCCGTTCGTTCAATTTATGACAGAACTCAATCTCGTTTAGGATCTATTATTATTATTATTATTATTATTATTATTAAATATTATTATTATATTGAATATGGTTGGCCTTTTTTTGGTTTTGTGTTTTGTTTGAATTTTGTATTCTTTTTTCTTTTTTTATTCTTTTTTAATCACCAGTTTCTTTTTTTAGTTTGCACCCCTTTTTTTCTAGTTTTATTATATGATGTAATACTATATGTATTAATATAATTATTATAATTATAAATACTATAATAATATTCTTTAAATTTATGACAATAACCAGAACAATTTGTTATATATATATATATAGGATTATTATCTATTGTTTTTTTATTTGTTTTTCAGAGCACGAGTTAAGTCAGGTGTAAAAATCTTGGACGCATCTTCTAGCAGCCCAGATTGGGAAGTCAAAGCGGAAATAAATGCAAAAAATACGGCGGCCTCTTTCACGGCTAAACGAAAGGAAGACGTTCCTAGAATGCCAAACACGTAAGTACGTCCAAGATATTTTTCCCATGCGAGACAACACACACACACACACACACACACACCCTTTCCTCCTTTCTTATTTTCTCATTTTAAATCAATAATATTCAAAACAAAAAATAAAATCAAATAGAAAGAATCAAAAGTAAGTCATCAATAAAAGAAAAATAATTAAAGGTAGAAAAAGAAATTTTGTTAATTAATGTTTCTATCATTTTTATTATTATTATTATTATTATTATTATTATTATTATTATATTTTTTAAAGTAATAAACAAACATTCAATTAAAGATAATAATTTATAAAAGAACAAAAATTAAGGTTCGAGGATTAAAGGTACATTCGTAGTAGTAACTTGCAATTGTATTTGTTCATCGCCACGTTTAGTATCATCCCCATGTAAAATGGCGTTAGGTTCGCAACCATTTCGTCTATTTTTCTTCTTCTTTATGTATCGTGTAACACGATGATGATTTTCACCTAACGATGATTCAATCACACCATTTGTCATTGATCCTGTTGCAATATCTCTTTTGTATTTTCTACCTTTTCCTTCATCGCTATCACTGTCATCATCATCATCGTCATCATCATCATCGTCACAATCTTTCCTCTTCTTCTTTTTCGATTTTCTACTATGTTTTCTACCATGATTATCATCACTATCATCATCGTCATCATCGTCATCTTTATTTTTATGTTTGTCATCGTCATCGTCATCATCATCACTAGATGAACTACTACTGCTACTACTGCTGCTACTGCTACTACTGCTGCTACTATCATCGTCAACGTCATTTTTATTTTTCCTTCTTTTAGCATACCTCGCTTGTCTATCCAAAATTATCCCAAATTTTTCTTCCTCACTTGAGGAACTCACACCACCTCCACCTCCACCACCAACACCTTCACCTTCACCATCAGTTTTTGTTAATGATATTTTAACATCATCTTCAATTATTTTCTTTTTCTCTTCTGAACTGGAAGAATCAACACTTTTCGAATTATCTTTAATCTTTTGTACAATTTCCATTCTATTAGTCGTTGGTACCATTTCTTCTTTAATTTCTTCAACCAATGGATGACCATAAATTGTATCGTACAATGATACGAATAAAATTGCACATATTAGTGCAAACAAAGAAGGTGAAACCTTTTTACGCATTATTATTTTCTTTCTTAATTTTATTTTATATTTTATACTTTAAAAAATTGAAATAATTTGATGATGATGATGACGATGATGTTATTTACGATCTCGAACGTTTGTTAACTGAACGAATCGTTTGTCGGTTCTTTATATACTCTCAGCACGAATTGCAGATAAATGTAAAAAAGAAAAAAGAAAATGAGAAAGATATGTATAAGTAGAAGAAATAAAAAAAATAAAAAAATGAAAAAAAAAAAGATAAAGAAAATAATTTTGCTATCGGTTCTAACCTCGCCGATGCTCCACTTTGATTTCTTTCTCCGCTTCACCCCCCCCCTACCCACACTCCACCCCCGCCCCACTCTACCTCATTTTATATTTCATCAGTATGTTTCTCTATCAATGTTTCTTTTTCTTCCTTTTCTTTTTCAATCTTCTCTTTCTCTTTTTATTATTCGTTATCAAAGTTGATCTCTCGTTCGGTTTCTGTTCAATTCGACTTGCTGGGTTTTCTTGTGAAATAGTCGATTGGAATAATCGATAAAGATGATTCAAACACGCAAAACACTGATTTGTATCTTGGATATAATAAGGATTATTATATTTAGAAATCTTTTATCTATTTTTTTTTTTATCTTTTTATTTATCTATTCACCTTTTTTATTATTGCAATATTCTTAATTATTTTTTTTTTTACTATTATTTCGTTTCATTCAAAATGTCAGCAGATACTTAAATAATTCAAAAATAAAAATTCCAATTAAAAATAAATTAGCATTATTATTTTTATAATAATAATAATAATAATAATAATAATAATAATAATAATAATAATAATATCTGATATTATACAATGCAATTATTAATTATTATTATTATTGTAATAATATCTTTTTTACTTTTTATTATTTTCACTTGCAGATTAATTCTACAATTTTCTTTTTATTATTTTCACTTGCACATTAATTCTACAATTTTCTTTTTTTTATTATTTTCACTTGCACATTAATTCTACAATTTTCTTTTTTTATTATTTTCACTTGCACATTAATTCTACAATTTTTTTTTATTATTTTCACTTGCAGATTAATTCTACAGTTTTCTTTTTTTTATTATTTTCACTTGCACATTAATTCTACAATTTTCCTTGTATCACAGAGACATCTCATATTTTTTTTATGTTATCTTCTTCCACTTTTTCAACAATAAAAAAATATACAGCGATAAATTATTCTTTTAAGAAAAAAAATAAAATTGAAAAAATTTTCACAAAATGTGTTATCAAAGGGCAATAAACAAATGACGAGTGATTTGATAGCACGAATTTTTGTTTAATATGACCCAAAAGAACAAAAGTAGAAGGGGTAAACAAGAATGATAATTTTCAGGAAGGGGAAGGTTGAGGGAAGGGGAAGGAGGAAAAAAGAATTAGATTGTCCTTGTAAATTTTTCTTTTTCCTACTTGGCTTTGGTAATAAGCGCAATGGCGTCGAGTAAAGATGCATTAGCGAGACGAGTTCGTAAGGCCAGCAGACATCTTTGTTTTTTTTGTTTTTTTTTTTTTCTTTTATATATATCATCTTTCTATATGTATATATATATTCCATATATGTACATTTGTGCATATACGTTTATACGATTACATACACTAGCCCCATGTATTATGCATAAAACGCGAACCACTTTTCGTATCTCGTAAAGCCTTCGCGTTGCAGTAACAAAAAAAAAAAAAAAGAAAAAAGAAAAAAGAAAAAAAAAATCCCCTAACGACGCGCGTCATTTTTTGCCCCGCATTAGAGAGACGACAACTTTGATCTTAGAATAACCGAGGATTATGAAATACGAACACTTGTTCTAGGATAATAAAAATATTAATTTTTTTTATTTTATTTTATTATATTTTTTTATTCTTGTTGTTCACATCTTCCTACTTTTCTATGATTCATTTTCATTGCTCATTTATTATTATTATTATATATATATATATATGTGTGTGTGTGTTTGTGAAATATGACTAGATTCTAACCTAAATTCTAGATGTGTTTTAATCTATTGAATTATTCAGAAAGTAAGTTGATTTATTTTTTTTTGCTGAAAATGAAGACAAATTTTACTTTGAGGTTAAACCTAGGCCTTTCAAGTTCTCATAAACAATTAAATTTCATAAATTAAACCTCTTAACAATCTCACGTGTACTTATTCGCCATTTTGCATCAACCAATACCTTCATTGTATCAGGAAAACAAAAACCAATGTACTTTCCAAACAACCCAACACATAAAAATAACTAAACCTAAAAACAAGAAAAATGTTTCAATTTTTGGAGACAGCTAATTTTTCATAAAAGACATGGGAACTTTTGAGACACCTTGTAGATCGATAAAATGAAAATTCATTGAGTGTCTTTTTCAAGAATCTTCGAGTACACGTTTTAAAGACTCTCGGGAAGAACATTTTTCTTCTTCTTCTTCTTCTTCTTCTTCTTATACGTCGTGTATTTTTTTTTATTACTAAAAAGTTTAAATCCCTCGTTAGCGTTGGGTAACATGTAGAAGAGAGAAAGAAAGAAAGAAAGAAAGGTTAAAAAAAAAAAAAGAAAAGAAATTTAAAGGGACACGCCCTACGTGCCTTGAACGAAACTATCGAACTTACGATATAACGAACTTTTGTCAATACACCTAACAGTCTGATGTCTGCAGGGGGTTGGAATCGTTTCTATGTTCTATCCGAAATCAACTCCAATTCCAACCCCACCCCCACACCCCCCCTTNTTCCCCCTTCCCCCCAATTCAACTATGAGAGTATGTGTGTAACGCATATAGTTGTATCAATAGACACACATACATATTGGAAAAATGTCTAGACGATCAGAGATGTCAAAAGTATCGAAAAATCCTTTCCCTGAATTTTGTATGATCAAACAAACGAAATAGAAAAATATTATTCCATCGTGTATGTATGTGTGCATAAATATGTTTATGTATGTGTGTGTGTGTGTGTGTGTGTTGTTCAATACTTAAGAATAGAAAATATCAAATGATTTTATCTTTTGTATTTTCATCTACATATATATGTATAAATAATCTTGGTTTTAGTTGAATGTGTATAAATGTATGTATGTGTGTGAGTGTTTGTAGGTAAGAGGATTTGAGAAAGAAACTGATTATCAAGAAGACACAGTCAATGTTTTTTTAAAGAATAAAAATCCACCGTTTTTTCTTTCTTTCTTTATTTAAGTAGATAGTTTATTTTCATGTTTGAAAGCAAACAAGCAAGCAAGCTTATGTTAGGAAGAAAGATTTTTCTATGTAACAAATCTTGAAGGAAAGAAGAAGAAGGAGAAGAAGAAGAAGGAAGAGGCTTGTGTTGTTAGATAAAATCTAAAGTTGAAAGTTGCAACTAAGAGAAAGAAAGAGAGAGAGAGAGAGAGAGAGAGAGAGAAAGAATTCGCTTACGTTCTTAATGTAGGGGATTCCCCCATCCTCTGGTAAAGGGGGGAAGCAGAAAAGTATGTCCCTTTGAACATTAAATTTAACTTGGAAATTTATCTGCACACCTTTGGTAACCAATCATCAAATAAGAACTGGGATCTTTCCCATACTTGAGAATAAAATGACAAATTTGACTTTTTGTTTTTGTTTGCAATATCCGAAATATTATAAACAATACTCATTTGTCAATAATAATAATAATAATAATAATGATAATAATAATTTTTTCAGACCGGCCGAAGAAATATTGACGATGTTATTGGAAGCAAATGAAGAAGGAATTGGTGGCAGTTGGGATAATGGAAGGATTGTCTGGAGCGTACGTTATTTTGTCGAAAAAGACGATGAAGATGACGAGGATAAAGAAAAGGATAAAGAAAATGGTTCCCAATTATCCATTGATAATGATCATCATCAACTTCAACGTTTACAGCAACAACGACAAATGCAACAGCATCATCATCATTATCACGATAATGATAAGGTTGCTGCATACCGTCATATTGAAAAACGTAAACTTCAGGCACGTTTGGAAATTCAAAAGGACGACATTCAAGCTGTTTTACCCATTTCCAAGGTTAGTTTATACATTTTTCTACTATACGTTACTAAACTTTAATGAGATTATTTCAACAAATTCTTGGTAAAAAAAAATTCGTTCGGATCAACTGAAATCCATTTTCAAGCATCCCCCATCCCACCCCTCCGTCTACTCTCTTGGGTTTCTTTAAAAAAAAAAAAAAGGAAAAAAAATAAGGGTTGGACGTGAGAACCGATAAATTGTCGAGAATGTTGAATCTGGGAGGGTGGTGAACGGACCCCAAAAAAGAAAAGTAAAAGCAAAAAGTTACTAGGGAATACCAAAAAGAGAGAGAGACAGACAGACAGAGAGAACGAATGAGAAGAGGGGAGGGGAGTGATGCAAATTTTGTGGTTTGAAAAAAGAAAAGAAAAGAAAAATAAAATAAAAAGAGTGAGAAAGGTAATATCAAATGCGCCATTTCTCTCGACACCGCCTCGATGTTCGGCCGCTCCTACGCTCCACCTACCAAACACCTCCTTCCTTTCTTCCTTCCTTCACCACCAACTTCATTTCCTCCACCTTCACCTTCTCCTTTCTTCTTTTTCAGCTACCTACCAACCTACCACTACTATTACCATCACACACATACCACAAAACTTCCACCTACAACAGCACACACACACACACACACAACTTTTGTTAGATCTCTTTCTCTATCTCTCTTGGGTTCCTGTTCTCTGATGGAAATCCCGTAGAAAAGAATCCGCTAACGCCCGATAACCTCTTCCACTTCCTCTTCCTCTTCCTCTTCCTCTCCTCTTTCGTTTCTTCTCCTAGTTGAAGCTAAAGGATCGATACCTAACCTAGGAATGTACGTACCCTTAGACTACGTGCTTGTATAAAAGGTTCACATGAAAGAATCGTTCTTACCAACTCGTTCGACCAGTCTCCAGTTTCACGACTGAGTCTTACTACTCTTCTTAGGAAAAGTAGGGGGAAGAAAAAGAGAGAAAAAAAAAATGAAGGTTCAGGATGAGGATAAGGATGAGAAGTCGGAAACGATAGGAAAAGTCTACTGAAGGTACTCTTAGAAAGGGATAATGTTTTCCCTTTAACTTACCGAGAGCAAATGCCATCTTTTACTATTTTCTCAGCTTTTCTTCTTTCCTATCCTTTCCCCTCACTCCTTTCTTTCATCTGTAGTTCTCTTATTCTTACCATCGTCTTTTTACATTTACCCTAACCTCACTTTTTCTTTCTCTTATTCTGTCCCTTTGTTTGTAACCTGCCTAAAGATATTTTTTTTTTAGTACAATTTAAAGATACATGGATCATGTTGATTGGTTGATTGGTTAGTTGGTTGGAATTTAGAATAGAAAAGTAATATTTATACCACTTCAAAGTAACACCGACGATTCTTCATGACGATTGTCATCAAAAGTAACCAAAAGAAAATAATCAAAATAAATATAAAGGTCTGATCAGGTGTATATATGTGTACGTATACATATATATATAGAAGAAGAAAAAAGAGGGATGAATAAATGGAGGTATCGAAATGATCGAGATATCGATAGATATCTTTAGATATCTTTTTAGATATATATATATATAGGTTACAGTGGAGCTGTTCAAAGTAGTAAAACTCAATCACGTATTCCACGTGGCCAGCAAGAAAAGAAGTAGATAGATGCAAAAAGGTGGTAGGATGGGGTGGGGTTGGGTGAGGGTGAGGGTGGTGCAGTGCACGTATATTGCCTCGGCTACTTTCGTATGCCATTCGACTCTTTACCGTTCGTTACCATGGAAAATCATCGGGTTCGATATCTTTACGCGAGCAAAAGGATATCCTTCTCGATTTACGTTGTCGCTCTTTGAGAAATAGAAAAAGAGAGAGAGAGAGAGAGAGAGAGAGAGAGGTAGATGGGTAAGTAGGGTGTGGGGTTGAAGGAAGAACGAGAGAGAACGTTTGCGGCTAGGAACGTGAGCTACCTCGTAAACAAGGAATCAACGATGAAGAACCAAAAAAAAAAAAATAGAAAAAATGTTGCGAGAAATATGGCAGACTCTGAGAAAGAGAGAATTATCTCATACTCTCTCATACTCTCTCTCTCTCTTTCTCACTCATACACTCCTATCTTTATCTATAATAACCTTTTTCTATTTTTCTTTAGACAAAACCGCTATCTCCTTTACCTTTCTTCGCAAGGGGTGGGTCTGTTGAGAAGAAAAAATATATAAAAAGAAAAAAATAACACCTTCCTATTTTCCTCTACCTTTCATCCCCTTTTTTTTTTGGTTTTCCATAAGAAAAATAAAAACCAAACAAAAAAGAAGATCAAGAGAGGAAAGGTATCAAGGGACGAAAAAAAAAAAAAATTTCTTTTAAAAGCCAACCGAGAAAAACGTTCAAAATGCCATAACGCGTTCCAAAGCAACTCTCCTCCTTCTCCTCCCTTTTGCGAAATAAGCGCGTCGCGCGTGAAACGAACAGGCGCTGGGCTCTTTTTATCTTTCACCTCTCATTTTCTTTTTTCTTTTCTTATTTTCTTTTAGCAAGTACTTTCAAACACACCTTCACACTTAAACCAACCTTTCTAACCTTAGAAACCAATACCAACATCGACACACACCACACTATTCTACGACAATAATCTGAGAAAAAGGAAACTTATCGATTGTACTCCATTTTCTATCGAACTATAGTTGTCAACCCCCTCTCCCTTCAACCCTCTTCTTATTTCTACACCTGCTCATTATTTTGTTCGAATGATTTGTGTATAAGTGTGTGTAGGAATTCGTAAAGGTTAACCAATTGGACTGTCAACTGACACTAACGTAATGAATTAATCCGTTTACGTGTTTCCCTTGAAAGGTAAGAGAGAAAGCAGCCCTTCCAAACCCTTACCTCACCTAACTCACCCTTACCACGTGCCACCTATCTGCGTTATTCCCCAACACCCCCAGAGTTGTCAGAAATTTCAAGCTTCTTGATTATCTGGCACACTAATTGCCCTAACCTTCCAGATGATGGTAAAGGAACGAAGTTTTTAATTAAAGGAGAACCATCCCCCTTCTTCTTCTTCGTTTTCCCTTATCTCTCTCTCTCTCTCTCTCTCTATCTATCTATCTATCTATCTTTCTATCTTTATCTTTATCTTTCTCGAGTCAAACGTAAATTCGTTTATATTTCTTCGTTCGTTTCGTTTAAACTCTAGCACGTATATATCTTCAACCTTCTGCCACTGGATTCAAAATGATCTTTAACGAAAACTAAATTAACTTTGAAGTAGAAGAAGAAGAAGAAGAACACTTTTACCTTTCTCGATGAATGAACAAAAATAAAATAAAATAAAATAAAAGATTATTTCGTCACGATCATACTTCAATTTATTTTTAAAATACTTCGAAACTAAATTGGTTTCTTTGTTTGTTTGTTTGTTTGTTTTTTTTTCGTTTCCTAACTTTGTTTGTAAATTAAATTAATGTTATTTATTGAAATGTTAAGTACCTTTATCGATTTTTCAATATTTGATACTTGAAAGAATTTCAATAGTACGCTGAAGCAAAAAGTAATGGCGTCGTTACTACGCATGTCAAATTATTTCGAATATTTTCAATTAAAAAGCTGATCGATGAATTTTATCGTTACGATATTAAAAAATATTGCATACCAGATAGAACAAAGATCGATTAATTAATTGTAGTTAATGAATTTAATTATTGATTATTAATACAAACTTGTTTGAATATAATTTGTTTGAATTTTGAGGTTAAAAAGCGACGTTACTTTCTGCTCCACTTAAATATATACTTTTATTAGCATTTACATTTATTTTGTTTCTTTCCTAACACTTTGTTTGTTTTTTTTTTTTTTTTTTAAATTACCTACATTAATTTTATTTATTTTCAAATATTCATAAAATTGAAAAAAGGAAGCCCCTTTCATTGATTTCAATATTTGATACTTGAAAGAATTTCAATAATGCATATAAAATATCTATTTATGTCTACATATATACTTTTATCTATCTATAAGGGAGAAAGTATATACTGAAGAGTAAAAGTTACTTTATCAAATATATATATATATATACATATATTTCGAGTTCGATTTGATCCTCGATACGATAGATATCGTTTTTATGCCTTAAAGCAATATTTCAAGAACATTGAACAATAACAACCAGCGTGAGAGAAAAGAAAAAGAAATAAAAACAAAACAAAAAAATAAGAAAAAATCGAAGATGTACAACAGGTAACCAACATTCTCTTCTCGTACGATTTACCTTTTCTTTCATTTTTGTTTTTGTTTTATTTTACATGAAGGTAAAAGTGCACTTTGCTATTTTCAAAGTTTAGTTAAAAGACTAATCCCATCTATATAACTTTAGGCTAACGTATCTAAAATAATACACAAATAAACACATATGCATATATATGCACATTGTATATGATGTGTGCATACTTTATATATATANATATATATATATATATATATATATATATATATATATAAATAAAAAAGGATAGAATATACCATGCGAGGTCAGAGATTTAAATTCCCTCGTTGCAATATCCGAGTCGTTTGATGTTACTTTCTAAAGGCCAGACCGTACGGAAGCCAACTTGGAAATGGCTGCTTGGATATACCGGACCAGGTTGGCCCCTTTCCTCTTCTTCTTCTTCTTCTTCTTCATCCTTCACCCCTCTATCTCCCTTTCTTTACCTTCCCGTTGACTAACCGAAGCGGCACCAGTTGGCCAACTGGAAGGTATGGAACCTTCATATCTATGTGCATACATAATCGTAGGGACTCCTACCTTATGCTTTCTTTCGTTTTTTTGTTGTTTATCTTTTCCCTTCCATGTGTAGGTAATCGTCAAGCATCTCTTTTCACGGAGAAATGATATATTTTTGGTCATTTTAACAGAACCTGAAACACAAAACACATTTCATGTTATCACGAATTCTTTCTTATTTTATTTTATTTGTTTATTTAAAAATAAAGTCATTAATGATTATTTTCAACACATAAAATCATAGAGGCACTATTAAACAATATAATATGATGATTATTATTAATAACAATTAAACTATTTGAAAGATTTTACAATAACATCCTAGGATTGTACTACTCATCAATTCTTTCTTATTTTATTTTTTTATTTAACAATAAAGTCATTAATGAACATTTTCAATACATAAAATCATAGAGGCACTATTAAACAATATAATATGATTATTATTATTAATAACAATTAAACTATTTGAAAGATTTTACAATAACATCTTAGTATTGTAGCTTCAATATTCGACGTTTACGATGTAAATCGATTTACGATCGGAAATGATCATCGAATGGAAGATGAATGGAATAATCTGACGAGACTGAATCTATTTTCCTTTCAGAACTGGGAAATTATGAATACGGCTGTGCTGACGGGACGACAAGTGTCACAAGGAATGAAGGTTTTCATCGTCAGTCAAGCTGGTACCGTGGCCGACGTCACTTTGCAATCTTCCTGTCATTCCGAGGACGAAAGTGTACTTAAGGTAAAATACCGTTATTAATGGTGCCACGTTATCGGAGATGTTCGATCGTTAATATTGGTAACCAATCCGTTCTAACGTCGTAATATCCAGTATCCTAAAGCACATATTGAAATAACTATGAAGGGACACATACTACGATGATTACACGATCAAATTGTCACCCGTGTTTGAGTTTTTTCAATTACGAATCATTACCCTTTTTTTATTTTTTTTATTTTTTGACTCTTTACAGGTTTCATCTTCATGTAGCAGCGTCTACGTTGACGGCTCAGAAATACGTGGCTCTAGCAACGCCTCAGTTTTGGTTAAATACGGCACATATACCGGCCTAGCTAGGTTCACCGTTTGGATGCCAGAATTTCCATTGGAAGTTACGGTCAGTGATACGAGATTGAGTCAAATCAAGGGTTGGAAGATACCCGAAGAACATTCGATGGGTGCGAAAAGTAAACGTAGCTTGAACGGTACGAGTATATCGAAAAACGAATCTAAGAACCCATCGAAAGTTAGGACGAAAAAAAGGAGTGCTATAGCAACGGAGTTAGAGGATTCGATGGAGGACACTTCGATGGACGTGGAGGATCCTGATATCGTGTTGGAAGAGGACGAACAGGAAGAACGTTTCCGTGGAAACGATCATGGATGGGATACTATCAATTCGATCGACAGAAACCCAACGACGAATTGTCGATTGCGTTTTCAACAAAGCCCTGTTGAAGTTCATTCAAGATTTCTAGCGTCAGATCACGATTCCGGCAGGGTGTCATACTTTGTTAATCGTCGTACTTGGTTACGAGTGACCGATCTGGTTGTCAGCATGCTTCGCGTGTCCGATCCAAGAATAGCCACACTTTTGCAAGGTAGAATCGTCCAAGGCCGTAGCGTTGGTAGAACCGAAGTTCAAGTTCTTTCGCCAATAACTGGTCGTGTAATTGGCGCTAAGGAAGTACGCGTTGGTAATGATCGGGTATCGGTTTCTCGATTAACGGTGAAAGTTGTCTCGGGTCTTCAATTGAGTATCAGTCCGGACACGGCTATTGAGAATGGTTACGTTGCCGAAACTTCTGTTACTAGAAGATTGACCGCACAATATCAGGTAAAGGTTTGTCAACATTTTGAGAACAAGTTTAACCGATTTAAACTTTACAATTTTTGTTTGTTGTTCAACAGGAAGGTTTACTAGACATAGACGTTGAATTTTCCGACGGATCTCGTACACCATTGAGAGAGATAGCCGTTAGTGATTACCATTTATTAGTTGAAAGTCTCGATCCGGAAGTGGTGGCTTTCGCACCAATGGTGGCATCCCATCATCCCCGAGTAATCGCCGTTGGCGAAGGCAGAGGCGACCTTTTGAGGGTTAGCCTTCAATTGGCGGACGTCTGTCGCCTTTCCGGAAGAAGATCGGGCAAAGCATCACAAAGAGCTTCGGTCGCTTCTCTGGCAAGTGCATCGGCCAACGTTGAAGTAGATTTCTCCTCTAGCGACCTGGCAAATCGACCGGAATTTGTACAAAACGACGGTGGAGGCACAGTTGGTGGTTCGCATCATCATCGAGAGAGGAAAACTAATCGGGGAGAGATGGCACCTGATCTACACGACATTCTTATCGGTAAATAGGTTCTGTACCCCTTTACCAAACAGAATTCTTTCACGATCATTTTCTATATTGTTCAATCAATATTTTATTTCATCTTGATGAAAGATGATGAAAGACACGATTAGATAACATAGGTTCCTACACTATGTCTATTTTTTCTTCGCTAGTTTCTATTTTGCTTCTTTTTTTTATCCCTTTCGCTACTCGTGTTCGGTTCAAAAAAAAAAAAAAGTAAAAAAAATAAAAAAGGCAAGAGATTAATTAACTCGAGTGCGCGTTTGTTTTGCTTGGATTCGTAAGGTTAAACGTTGCATGCATTGAAATAAAACGTATCGGAAGGATGATCGTAAGCATGATCGATCGTAACAGTGTCCGGGTATCACTTTCGTTGATAAAAGAACGCGATTTTCTCACTCTTGCCCTCTCTCTTTCTGTCTCTTTGTTTTCTGTGCAAAGGGTTACCGCTGAAAGACGAGAACGAGCACGAGCACGAGCCTCTGGTGCAGGCGCGGCAGCACCTCACGGCTATAGCTAATGGCATGTCTTCAGGAGGAATAGGCGGAGTCGGGATAAGGCATCAAGGGGCATCCCACATGAGTCCACTCGAGATTGGGATGTACGTCCTGCTTGCTGCCTTTTGCTTCGCAATCGTTGTCTTCGTCGTCTCCTGCGTCGTCTATGCGAGCAAGTTCAAGCCACAATCACCGGACTCCCCGCTGACCAGTGGTGGTGCCCTTCCTGTTCTATCCGGTGCAGCTAGGGCCAGGGCAGCAGCCAATCAACTCGCATCGAGTAGAAGACCTCCTAGGGAATCAACGACCAACGCGCACGATTGGGTTTGGTTGGGACGGGCCACCCTCGAACGTGCCGCTTGTGGTCCTCAACAGGTACGCATTACCAACATTGATTGCTTTACTAGTTTCAGGAATTTCCATTTAATTCTAAACTATGACGACTTTGACGACAACTATGATGATAACGATAATAATTTTAGGTGCACGTTACCAGCAATCCTCTGGCCAGTGACGTTGAGGTCGACCCACCAGAATTAGGTACTTGTTTCGACAACCCAAACCATATCGAACTTCCATCTGCGGGTCAACGACCTAACAACACAGGTCCCATCGATACTACGACCTATTGCAAGAGGGACAAATTGCCACGAAATAGCTTCGCGGTTAAATCTACGCCGATTAAACCACTACCTGTTAACAACGTGACTGCACCGAACGTGTCCACAGTAGGCACAGTGTTGCCGGCTACGCGTAACGAGTAATTATTTGACTAATCCCATCTCTAATAATTAAAGGTGAAGTTTCGTAATCTCTTTGATTTTCATTCGATTGTCATATTTTCGTAGTAACGAGGACGTGCCACCTCCTTTGCCACCACATGGAGTACCAGCGAATTCTAGCGTATCTGCCACGGCACCTACACTCGCTGTAATGGGTACTCCCATATACACCAACAACAACAATAACAACAACAACGGAAACGAGGATTACAAGCCACCTGTACCACCACACAGAAACACCGGGGTGATCGTTAGGCTGCCAGAAACACCTAGGAAACATCGTCATCGTGCATCCAGCGGTGGTAGCACTGGACATCACGCTAATCATCGGCACAACGTTAACAAACAACTCCAAATTTACGTTGTTAAACCATTAACATCGCAACAACAGCAACAACATGGAAAAGACAGAGCGAACAGTCCAAAGGAGAAAGGTGAAGAAGAAGAGGAGTTCGTCGAATTGGTCAATCCTGACGAAAAACAACAGCAACAGCAACAACAACAACAACAACAACAACAACAACAACAACAACAACAACAAAGTCCTTATTTAAAAGATGTAAAGTCCAGAGAAGTTAAAAGGGCGACGATAGTAGGAAACCCGATGTACTCTTCGTTATCAACGTCAGCAGCAGTAGCATCTTCTGTAAACGCTTCCACCCCGACTATTGCCTCATCATCGACAACCTCCCCACCGTCAACGTCACCGTCCTCCAACAGTTCCTCCTCCGCCTCTTCCTCCTCCTCATCAACAGTATCCTCATTAACTTCCCAGGAACAGGAGGAGACCGTAGCATTGGAAGACCTTAATCTCGGTATGGATTATCATCAAATTATGCACTATTTCGACAATTTGAAGGAATCGAACGCCTAGGTAATAGAGTCCGACCTCTTCGAAGGTCGACCGTAGTAGTCAACGTCGTTGATACGAAACTAAAACTAGGATCGTCTTATCATATTCTTCTTCCGATCATACATATAAGAGAGAACCTTGACGAGATGTGGTTGCTCACGACACCGATCGTAAAAGCTCGCAAAACAACAACAAGCCCCAACCGCGCGCGCGAAGAAGGAAACAATAATAAAATAAAAAATGATTGAAGCTTTGCAATCGCGGAAGATGATCCAAGAAAACGTTTCGTATTCTAGACTAATAAATCTAGTCAGCTTCCTATAGCAGCACGTCAAGAGCATGCGTTTAAGACAAATACCTTACAGGTACACGCGCGGACACACAAACACGAAGACTGAACACGTTTACTACACTTACACATAAATACATAATAGAAATACATTGATACGCGTATAGATATACGTGTGTACATGGGAATAGAGAACACGACAGATGCAGAGGCTTTATTATCCGACTGTCGGTGATTGATAGGACGAGATGTTGGTGTTCGATCCAAAAGGAGAGGAAATTATTATACCTAACCGCGATATCAAGTTGAATTTCGATACTCCTACCGATCTGATGGATCGATCTATGCCATCATCTTCTTCCTCACACACCGTTCTCGTTCCAGTATATCTTCTCGATCTCTCGCTCAAGCCTTACCCTTCAAACTACCCCTAGGCGCCCCCTAACCCTTCCCCATACTCTGCAATACTCCCATTGTTATTGGTGGGTTACATTTAACTACTGCTGAATTCGTTACTATCGCTTTAACAACAGCAGTGAAAGTCCGACGAGAAGACTTCGATCCGATGTTCCGATCTCGATTATATGATCTTCTCTCTCGTAATTATATTATATTTATTATTATTATTATTATTATTATTATTATTATTTTGCGTTTTTATAAATAGATTCTTTTATTTTTTAGTAACACACGCGCGTTTATTGTTACTATGTGTAATTAATTATATGATTGAAACGATGTCCTGTTAAATCTTGACAGTTTAAAAATGTCAGCTGAACTGACATGAACTATAAAATAAAAAAAATAAAAATAATAGTCTTCCTGTTCGGATTGGGTCAGAGGTCGAGATGACCGTCGCGATCGAAACTATCGGAAAATATCTGGTTACGTTCCGCGTCGATAATGAATAAATAATAACAATAATATTAATAATAATAATATTAATAATAATATAATATTAATAATAATATTAATAATAATAATAATAATAAACAAACACGTATATTTATTCGAGCCGATGGCGCGTCGTAATATTTGTAAATTTTGCTTTGTAAGACTGTGTACATATATATATTATATATTATATTATATCGCGATAGCGCAAAATGATTATTAATTAATAACGGATTTACAGATTTAACTTTACATTTATATATGGCCCGTAGAGAGCGAAGAGCATACATACATATACATATGATAAATATATATATATATACATATACATATATATCCTGAAGCAACCCTGTTGCATACATAATATATACATATATATATATATATATATGTATGTGTATATATATATATATACTACGTAAAATTGAAAAGGGTCATATCACAAAGCCCTTTCGATTATTACGTATATATTCGTCCTTTCCATATCGGACTCTCTATGCGTTCATGCGTGCGCATGCAAGCGCCATTTTTCTTCAGGTTCACCCTTTTGAAAGAAACAAAATAATTTCAAGCGAAGAACACGCACAGTAATGCGCCCTTTTCTCCTCCCACATCCTACATACATACACACACCACATACACATGTTCACATGCACACAAACAAACAAACAAATGAAAACAACCCCTTTGGGAGCAGTTCTTCCTCTTGAAAGCAAAATTCGTCGTTCCCTCCCTTTGAGAAAATTCGAGATTAATATATAAGGGCTTCTTTCTCTCTGTCCCTTTTTCCTGATCGTTTGAAAAACAAAAAGAAATGAGACATTTGATTTGAGATAAGAATAAAATCAAATGAAATTGATCGGAATTTAGGGATGAGGGATGTGAAGTTGAAAAGAGTTTTAGAAAAGAAAAAGAGAAACGACAAAACTATCTTTAAAAATAATAATAATAATAATAAAATAAAATAATAATAATAATAATAATAATAATAATAATAATAAAAATTAAACAACCTAATCATCTAAGGACCTAAGTGTCTAAGTATGTATGTATCTGTAAGTTGTGTGTTAGCACGTCGCCTGAAAAATTCTAGTGATAAAAATCGACGATAATGGCAACGACGTCCGATAAAGAAGAAATAAATAAATTAAAAAAAAGAAAAAAACACAAAATGAAAGAAAATTATCTGATCAAGCACAACAAATAAAAAAGAAACACTTCTATCTAAAAAAAAAAAAGAAAAAAAACCAATGACAAGTGCGAGATCATAAAGACGATCATTAGAAACTTAGAAACGTACTATTATCTAATGATGATGAGAAGAAATAATAGAAAAAAAAAGGAAACTATAAAATAGATGGGATACCACATATTTGAGAAAAACTAAACAACAAATCGAGACAACGTACATTAACCCGCCGAGAGAATCTAGTCTTTATATAGCATACATATAAATATATATATATATTGTTTATACATATATATATATATATATATTATAAACAATTTATAATCGTCGTAACGCGCGATCTACGTTGCCTTTCGCCGGATGATGAGTTTAATTGTGTGAATCACGAGGAGGAGAGATTATTATCACAAATAACAATATCATTCGTCATATTCATCGTCATCATTATCATCATCATCATCATCAGATAAGCGAAAGTTCCGAATTGCATCAAAGGGTTGTTCTGCTTTATTGTAATTATATATAAAAAAAAAAAAAAACGACGAGATTAAAAGAGAGAGAGAGAGTGAGACTCGTTATCAATGAACTATAAAAATGAAAAAACGAATCAATCATATCGACTTGTGAAGTAAGACGCGCGCGCGCCTTTATATATTTTTTATTATTTTATTTTAATTTAATATTTTAAAAATCGGCTCGCGCGTTATTTGCAAATGGAATAATATGTTGACGCTCGTAATTTAAAAATGAAACAAATCATTAATTTAAGTAAATATATAAATATATGAACATTTCTAGATCCAACATTTCTCAAACCTTTTAATAACAAATTGATTTTTCTTTTTTTTTTTTAAATATTCAATACGACACAAAAATATAATATCAAATTTCTAAACAAAAAATTAGATAAACTTAAGTGACTGTATATTATTTTATACGTAAGATTAATTGACAATTATGTGCATTAATTAAATTATAATTAAAAGGTTGAAAAATGTTACATTTAGATTGTTTCAAATAAAGTAACATGTGTGCAAATCACACGTGTTAGAAGTGAAATCTTCAAAAAACTAAGTTTCGAGAGAATGAGACGGAATACAAAATATCTGCTGTAGGATAATTGTATTCTTTTCTTATTTAATGAAACGCGGCCGTTTCATTGCCTCCTACCGCTCCGTTACATAGCCGCCTACCGCTTCGTTACATTTTTTCAAATCACACCCATTCTAAAGAAGTTTTCACTTCAAAAAGCGTCACAAGACAAAATTCCTTGCACAATGCGCGTATCACGCACTCTTGTATACGGTTTTACACCTCACGATCTTATTTATAAGATTGATTATTACAGGAGATTAAAAATATACAGGGACGAAATGATTATTACATGACGCCGCATCAATTATACAAACTAAAAGTTCCTTTCTTATCTAACACTCGTCGTTACGTTTGGGAACATATTTAAGCACGTATTTTCACGCGTTCTTCGATCATCCTAAAATCCTAATTCCTCTTCCTCCTTTTCCTACTTTTCCTAATCCCTCCTCCTCCTCCACCTCCACCTGTTCCTCTATTACTCTACGCTTCGTTTCTTACCTGAGTTTCATAAATATCCGTGATCATTTATTATCAAATGATCAAAATACGTTCTACGGATGTATGTATGTATGTATGTATGTATTTATAAGCGCACCGAAGAAATCGTTAACAAAAAAAAAAATGAAAAAGAAAAAGCAAAAAAAAAAAACAAAAAAAAAACAAATAAGGAAAATTATCGCGCGTGTCATACCTCTCGGTGTAACTAATAAGTTCTTGCTGATTAGAGTTTATGATCATTGTAATGCTGTCTAATAAGTATACATAAAACACACAACATTCCTTTGACACGACGTCACGCCACGCCCCCCCCCCCTATCTCTACGTTAAATGTAATAAATACGAAATAAAGTATTTAAAAAGCGCGTTATCGCTTGCGATTACGACTATGACAACGAGAGCGACAATTATGCTATTATTAACCAATGGTGGTAACGGCTAATAGGATTTAACATTTTGTTTTATTCTCTGTCAAAACATTTCAGCGTTAAATTAATTTGTATTAATAATTATAGTGATCATAAGTAATCCTTTTGTCATTGTCATTTAAAAAAAAAAAGAAAAAGGCATCGCTTATTAGCATCGTCATCACCATCATTGTCATCGTCATCGTCATTATCATTGTTGCCGTTACCGTTATTGTTATAAAGATTGTTGTTGCTGTTGTTGTTATTGTTGTTATCATCACAAGACATATTACCGTCGTCAGCTTCATCGTCGTCGTTGGCGTTTTTGACGTCGGCGCCGGCGTCGCCGATACGCTAATTAAACAATAAGGTACGACTATCGCCTACTCAATGTACAATATGTAGTATTTACCTGTTGTTACCACCAAACCATCATCAAAGATATATAAAATATTGTAATTGTAACATAATTGCATTTCAATGATTTGTTTCGTTTAATTCATCATTATTAATCATATTATATTTTTTAAAAAATCCTTATCTTCCTAGATTTCATTGAATTATTCGAAAAAAAAAAAAAATATGTTTGTTCTTAAGGTAAGATATTTTTATATATTGATCAATTTGTATAAATGTTTATGATACGTATTAACTTATTAAATAACGAATATTTTTCATTTAGTGATTCATTTAGTTCAAGTACTATTAAATATATTATTTATTTACAAATATTTAGCGAACCATAATTTGTCAACTGGTGATATCCATTTATGACAACCACCGATATTATTTTGAATAATATATTTCCACGTCCAAGGATTTAAATTATTTTCCTCGTTTCTCCTTTGAATTTCTGCTCTTTTGTCTAAGATTTCTTGACTAATTGCCATAGCTTTAAATGGACATTTATTTGCTATGTCCTGTAATACTTTTTTTACCTAATGAATGTATCGATTAAAAATTTTAAATTTCTAATATCTTTTGCATAAATATAAAAGATATTTCAATAAAAAAAAAAAAATGACGTACTTGAAAAAATTTGATATTTCCACCAACTTCTATGATCACTCTGTCAGGTTTAACTGGAGTAACATAATGATCTATTGGTCCCTTACCACCACCCATACGTGAACCTTGAGGCTGTATAAAATGATCATTGTTGTTAATTATATCTTTTACAGCTAATAAATAATAGAAATATTATTTTGTTTATAGAACCTTTTTAGTAATAGGCTGCCATGGTGGATCAACGCGCCAAATAGCAAACATATCATCAAATTCAAAATTACGTAGAAGAGTCATACGTATCATTTCAAAATGACCGTATTTTAATCTTCCACCTCCTAATGCCTGTAAATATTAAATTAATACTTAAGTATTAATCAACTTATGCTAGTTGTAAACAAACTTACAATAATTCCAAACTGTTTGTGTAATAAAGTGTTATGTACAGGTTCAGGACCACGCATGAGCCTTAACCTCTTCTGCATTTTAAAAGGACGTAAAGAAGGTGGATATTGTGGAACCTTTTCCATAATACGAAGTTTATTTCTTTCAGGAAATTCAACATCTTTAAAAAAAAAAATTACATAGATTTAGATTAGTAACTAAAGTAATAATAAAATATTTCTTTTGTTATTTTTTAGTTTATAATTAAACTAACCTTTAACTTTTTCAGGTGGTGGAAATATTTTTATTCCAGCTCTTTGTACGAGTATTCCAGTAAAATTACCTGATAATAAAATAAGATAGAATGTTATTATTTATTTTTAAAAAACTGTCACACATAACCTCAATGTTTTGATTATACTTATTTTATTTTACTTACTTGAAAGGAACGGTCGTAATGTATTTTTTAAAGCTTGCATTATTATGAATTTTGTTGATCACTGATTTTAAACTACACTGATATTAATTAATAATATTTTTTGTTTAATTAACACTTATAAATGGACCATATAAATTGATCCAATGACAGATATAGTGATATTCTTGAGTATCATAGTGAATCTTTGATTGACCATTCAGAACAATATACCTATGTATAGTAACTTTATTGTTATTATTTTATAATATTTATTATTAAGCTTTATATTATTAAAAATATATTATAATAATAAAAAATGATAAATAAATTATCCAGTATCAAAATAATTTCTTCCAAAATGTTTATTATCCAATTAAATAATTAATCTGATGATTGATACAATTGAAATAAAAAAAAAGTACCAGATTTACGAGAACGTTCATTGGTTTTTTACAAAAGAAATCATAATAGTAATAAGAATTTAAAAAAGAATATTAAAAACACATAAATTTATAATCATAATATTAAAAATCATTCTTTAACGTTAAATATAAAAAGAAAAAAAAAAGAATTGTATTAATCGTAACAATTTTAAATATCTGCTCGAAAATAAATCAAGAAAATGATTATTAAAATAATCTAGTGAAAGTAACTAAAACTAGTGATTAAAATAGAATATTTGAATTGACTAGCGTAGCAGCATGACACGAGTTTTGTGGTTCCGGAGCTCAAGCGAGCAATGAAAAGAGTGACAAAACAGAAAGTGAACGAATCATCTTTTAAAAGATCGTGTGTGACAGCACACAGTGTTATGTCTCGACATTGTTTTATATAAACATCGAGTCTAATAATTTTTAATTGGATTTTCCGCGAGGAAAGATAATAAATAAACAAATAATAAAAATAAAGTGATCTAAGTGTATCATTGAATTAGATAAAAGCTTGGAGATGGCCGGTGCAATGTTGTTTGAGCGTGCACAAGCTGTGTCAATGACAAATCGCAGCGAAGGTATATCTCTGTTAAATGAGATCGTATCCGACCCTAATATCGGTCTTGCCGAAGATGACGAGGAAAGTATCAGGGTCAAGGAGCAGGGTATATTGCAACTTGGTGAACTTTACAAGAAAGAGGGCAAAGCTAAAGAATTAGCTGAATTAATTAAAGCAACTAGACCCTTTCTTAGTCTGATAAGTAAAGCCAAAGCAGCTAAGCTTGTAAGATCATTAGTTGACTTCTTCCTCGACTTGGAAGCTGGAATTGGCATTGAGGTAATATTTGTTCTATGTTAATAACAATAGAATTATTTTTAGAAAACATTTTTGTATGTACTTTCATTATAAGTTAAAGTATTTTTAATCTATGCTACGTTCTAATTCATTATTTAAATTCAATGCATATTTTCTTGAACGATGTTAACATTTGCCTTTTGTTATTGCATCAACTATGCTTTCCATCATGCAATATTGAATAAGATTGATCTATGTTGACATCGTTGAGAAGAAAATATATTGTTGAATATAATGTATGTTTATGACTGACAAAATGGTTTCTTTTATTTAGGTACAATTATGCAAAGAATGTATAGAGTGGGCAAAAGAAGAACGTAGGACGTTTTTAAGGCAATCATTAGAAGCACGATTAATAGCTCTTTATTTCGACACTGGCATGTTCAGCGAAGCTTTGCAATTGAGTTCTGCTCTTCTAAAGGAACTTAAAAAATTAGATGACAAACAATTGCTTGTTGAGGTTCAGTTATTAGAGAGCAAAACATATCATGCATTAAGTAATTTAGCTAAAGCAAGGGCAGCTCTGACTAGTGCTAGAACCACTGCCAATGCAATTTATTGTCCTCCAAAAATGCAAGCTGCTTTGGATCTACAATCAGGAATTTTACATGCTGCTGATGAACGTGACTTTAAAACTGCCTATTCATACTTTTACGAAGCATTTGAAGGGTAAATTATTCTAGTGATTGTAATTTGATCAAACAACAGATAATTTTAGTCATTTATAGAATTTGTATACTATCGTTATATATTTTTTTATTGTAGATATGATAGCGTTGAATGTCCTAAGGCATTAACAGCATTGAAATACATGTTATTATCCAAGATCATGTTACGCACACCTGAAGATGTTCAATCTATCATGTCTGGAAAATTAGCAGTCAAATATGCTGGACGTGACTTGGATGCAATGCGTGCTGTTGCTGAAGCCAGTCATCGACGTTCTTTAGCTGACTTTCAAACTGCAGTAAAACAATATCGACAAGAATTAGAAGACGATGTAATCGTACGTGCTCATCTAGGCTCTCTTTACGACGCTATGTTAGAACAAAATCTATGTCGTTTGGTTGAACCCTATTCTCGCGTTCAGGTATAATACAACGTTTTATATAAACAATCTTATTATTATAATCTAAACTATGAATGAATAATTCTAATCTTCATTTATAGGTAAGTCATATTTCTTCGTGCATATCTTTACCACTAGCGCAAGTAGAAAAGAAGTTATCGCAAATGATATTGGATAAAAAATTAAAAGGAGTATTGGATCAAGGGGAAGGTGTCTTAATTGTATTCGAAGACACGCCACGTGACAAAACCTACGGAATTGCGTTAGAAACAATACACAGCATGGGAAAAGTAGTCGACACGCTTTACCAGAAAGCTAAGAAACTTACCTAGCCCTGTTTAACATATATATTTATATAAGCAAAGTCTTATAAAATTATTCTTATCATTATACTTAGTTTCTGGTCATAAAATACAAATTCTATTGTTTCCTTAAACATCTAACATTATTAAAAACGCAACTCCGATGGTATTGCAATAATAACAAAACAAAAAAACAAAAAACAAGAAAAATAGTAAACCAAATTTATTCATTTGCCACATTTCTCATTATTGCGGATATAATATTGTAATTAATAATAGTTCAAAATATTTTGTAAGTAATAAATCTTGAAATGATTAACTTACATGGCTCCTGATTTATTATCGCTCTTTGCTCATAATGGTATATATATACATACATATATACATACTTTGTCATGACTGCATACAATTTTTAATTGATTTATCATGTTGTTACTTAAATAGATAATAAAATATTCGACGTGTGAAATGTAAATCGTAAATAATCATTTATTTAATCTAATCCCTTTTTTTTTTATTTGTAATAATTATCATTTGTATATTTATTATTTTGTAATTTAACATATAAATGAGTAGATTGATAAGTTTTGAGTCTCAAGCAAATTTTCATTCTTAAGAAAATTAATAGTTGGTAGTATGATTAAAAAATAAATTTAAAAAAAAAAAAACCTTTGTATGAAAAGAATTAAATTTCTTTTGTTTAACAAATATAGAACATGCGTCATTTAAATAATAATAATAATAATAATAATGATATCCATTTATATTTTAATTTCTCAGAAGTCATAAGAAAACAAAAAAAAGAAATTAAAAATTGACTATAGTATGTAACATATTTTTTGTGTAAATAAATAGACATTTTGTTAATATATATGGCTGTTTATAAAATTATAAATAAAATAACATATGAAATAATAATGAATGTAAGATTAAAAACGATTTGAAATTGTTCAACGGCAAGTAACATTAAAGAGTCTCATTTGATATCGCAGTATACGTATAGAGTACGTTCACTTCCTGTTTGAAGTTGCACGTTTCGATAAAGAGGTAGTGTGGTTGTACTTAATAAAAGTTTTTATTTGAAAAAAAAATAACGTATAATGGCGAGTGCAACAACAAAAAAGGTAATTTAATTGATTATTTTTAACGCATTGCTACCATTAGAGCAATATATCAATGATTAATAAATATTAGAGTTTTATTAGTCAATAGTATTACCAAGTATAGGTTAAGTCCACTAATTCACCGGCTTTATGATTAGTCATTAAAATTTGTTCATTTATTTTCATGTTTAATCAATTAAAATAACTTAATATATTTAATACGTACAATCTCAATTAATTCAATTTCATTTTGATTCTTATCTTGATTGTATCATATATGCTTTCATTGTATTTGTAGAATTCATATTTGCGTGTAACTGCCAACACACATGTGCGCCGCGTGTGTGTTCGTGCGAATAAAGCAAGCGTGCGCGCTCGCGCGCGCATTTATACATTATTATATATATGCTTTTATGTATAAATGATTAAAAAACAAATTAATATTAATAATTTTATAATTAATTATTTATTAATTTACTATTGATCAAATTTTTGTCGCAATTATAAACAATATTTGTATTATTTGGGATTAATACACATTTAACCTAGAAATACAATGTTAACATTGTATATTATACATTTTTATTGATAATTAACTTGATTTTTAGATAAAATTAGAAATTATCTTTCATTAGTTTACAAGATAAAGATTATTAATTATTATATGTTTGTAAAAAAAACAAAAGTTTGATGTATAAAACTGTTATTTATTAATTTTGATTGTAGTTTGCCATCTTTCAAAAAAAGAATAAAACGATTTTTACCTAATGTCAGTTTTGTTTAGAAAAATTTGATCATCATGTTTATAAAATTAAGAAACAAATAAAACAAACTGAAACACACGCATATATAAATAATTTGTTGTTTTTTTTTTTTTGATTGATTGACAATTGATAAACAAATGAAAGAAAGAACATTTTCTAACCTGTCTTTCGTGCATTCAATCAATATGTAAATTTATTTTCTAATAACTTTGTAAATTTATGTATTCATTTAACAATAGAAATAATTCATTTAAATTACTATTAAATGTTACCATCACTTTTGCATTCCATTTCTAAAAATGAATCAATATTGTCAAAAGATTCGTTTTCAGAAAAAACTGATCTTATTACCAATGAGTCAAAAAAGGTTTGCATTAACATTAATAATAATATAATAATACACATTTATATAATATTATAAACTATTTCCTATATACAAAAACAATGAATATAATTTTGACAAATTTTATTTGAAAATATTTATTTAAATTAATATATTTGTAAACATACATTTATCTCTTAAGTTTGTCTTGCTTGCAGGTTCAAGAATACAAGGATTCTCTTAAGACTAAGGTAAACCTCTTTTACCCATTGTGTAAGTAACTTGATTCGTTTTTATATATATGTATACAGAAATGTTCAAGTTTTTATTAATCGGTCAGTCATTTTGTATAATGTTAAACGAATCAAGTAATATTTATATATGTACAAAATAAGTTAACATTTGTAATATCAATGCATACTATTTTGATGTTTCATTTAGGCTGAACAGCTTTTAATAACAGGATTTCCAGAGAAGATTGTTAAACTAAATGAATTATTGGAAACACCTGATTTCCGTAACCGTAAATTGACAGATGTACACCAAGACTTAAATGTGCCCATTCCACACCCTATAGTTCTTAATCATTCCGAAGATGGACCTCTTACGAAAAAAGCTAAAGTGGATAATAGTGTGGATGAAACTAGCGGAACCAAAGTTATGATATTACCTAATGGACCAGTACCATGTAATAAACCTTTATGTGAATTAATTCACGTAGTCAAACCTTACATCAGGCAACTTTTGGAAGATTCGAATCTGGTACAATAATTGTTTTTTTTTTTTTTTTATTAATATCATTGAATCATTAATATTTGACATGTATGTAATCATTATATAATGTGACAAATGTGAAATTTTAGTTGAAGATGTGGATTTCGTTTTTGATTCCAAAAATTGAAGATGGTAATAATTTTGGTGTATCAATTCAAGAAGATACACTTGCAGAAATACAATCAGTAGAAAGTGAAGCAGCTGCATTCTTCGATCAAATCTCAAGGTTTGTTCTTTCATCTTTTTAATTATATCATAAATAAAATGTATATAAATATAATATTATCATTTTATTAGGTACTTCATTTCACGAGGAAAAATTGTTAGTAAAGTTGCTAAATATCCACACATAATTGATTATAGAAGAGCTATTGAAGAGTTAGATGAAAAAGAATATGTGAGTTTATGGCTGGTAATGTGTGAAGTTCGTAATCGCTACTGTTCGTTACACGATCTCGTCATCAAAAATTTGGAAAAAATCAAAAAACCACGCTCTTCCAATGCGCAATCACTCTATTAAAAATAATTAAACAAATATTACCTGTATATGTGTGTACAGGATCATCGAAATGGAAAATAAAAGTAATCGCATTAAAGGAGCGTGCCTAAAACTTCATGATTGGAGAGAATATAATGTTCAATCATTACCATCCATGCGCTATCATCATCTTAGATATTATTGACTATAATAACGTCTTGATATTAGTCCATCATTCTTTTTGACCAATAACAGTACTATGAATAAAACACACACATAGTTGCCTCATACATATTACATTGACAACAAAATATGTTCTAGCTTGTTTATATATGCAAAAATAATTTTATGTAGCTGAGACTATTGTAAACAGTAATAAGAAAGAACATCAAAAACTAATATCGTTCTATACTTTCTTGATGTTAAATACAATATGGTTCTATATTCCGATGATCGTTAGAGTGCTCAGATGATACACGTATCACTGATCTTACACATTCAATATTTTCATTAAACTTATTATATTATACAAATTGATATGTTTATTTTCATTTAAATCTCTTTAACATTTTATATTTGTGACTGTAATTATACGAACAATAAATTTGTACTGCAATTTCTTTGCTGAATATTTTTGAAAGATCGTATTAGAATTTGAATAGAGCATGAAAAAAAAAAACAAGACAATTGGTGATTCGTGTATCGTTTATAGTTGTAAAAAGTAGGATATAGGATTATATATGTACAACTTTAAGGTTACTAATATTATCAATATATGCTATTATCAATTCAGTATTTACATACATTCATTATCATGGATTCAACTTTTGAATTTTTTTTTTTTTTTAAACTATTTCATATCATCCGAGGTGTAATGATGGATAATATAACAAGATTGATGTGTGAAAAGATTTATTCAATGTTTTAATAAGCGATATATGAAAATTTTATATATCGATGATCTCTCTCTTTCTCTCTCTCTCTCTCTCTCTTTCTCTTTCTCTCATGAGATTTGTGAATGTATTCGAAACAACGTACTACCAGAATTATTTAAATAAAATTTCTTCAGTAAATAATTTCAAGTTTCTCTTTAGCCGTAATATAAAGTTTCTAATTAATTAATTATTACGTGTAACATTTCTACTTTGATTTCAATTAGCAATTGTTTGCCTTGTTCTCGTCGCGTGATGTGAGATGACAAAAGTGAAAGAAAAATTAAAATTAACGTTTTACCGAGATTGTAAATATAATATATATTGTCTTATAAACATAATGGAAATATTTTGGAATGATAAAAAATTATTTCTACGCTCCTCACAAACAACAAAAAAAAGAACAAAAAAATATTATGTATACTTCATTATGTAAAATCGTTCAAAATTTGTTTGGTAAAGGTTTGTTGATTTAATATATCCAAGAATTAAACATAATATTTTTTACATTTTCATTTTTTTTTTTTTTCACAACTCATTTTTTATCGTTCAAGATAATTTTTTCTTTTTGTTTTTTCCTTTATTAATTAATGTTTAAAAATGAATTTATTCTAAGCCTAAAAATGTAGATGAAAAGCATAATTATATTATTTGTATCAGTCTTAAATGTTGAAAAGTATTACAGTTAGTTATACAATTCTGGGATTATCGAGATAGTATTAATAAAATAAAACTTCGTAAAACCAATGTTTAATATAAATTCATTCAAGTTGTGTTTGACTTTAACATTTTATTTTCATTATTTTATAATTATTCCTTTTATATATTGATTTTATTCTGAATATGTAGTAGATAAGCATATGTTTCTTCTATGAATATTATTTTTGTATTATTTTAAAACTACAAAAGGATAATTATACCTTGTATGTATATATTTATATATATATATACGTGTTTATTTTGATAACATTTTATAGGCAGATATTTTGATAACACTTTTTTATTATTACATCCACATGCTTGTTTGAATGATAATTTGAATAATTTAATTAATATTGTAACAAATCAAACTAATTAGCGTGTAATTATTTATCACGTGTAATGTAATATTAAATAATTACCATTCTATAGAAAGTAAAATGTTCAAGGTATTTAAAACATGTTAAATGACTTTTTAGCGAATGAGGAAATAATATTTTATCAAAAGAAAAAAAGAATAAATGTTTGTAGAATAATAATGATAATAATTAATCATATTATTAATTGTGTGAACGTAATAAAATACATTTTATTGATATTTTTCATGATTTTATATAAATTTATAATATTGTGTATTTGAAATTGGCGCCTTTTTAAATGACACTGGTCCACATTTGGTTATGCATTGTTTCCTATTCGTGATTGGTGTTTCTATTTGAGACGCATGCGCACTGTGTCAAAGAGTTGCATACAGATTGTTTTTAATATTTTCAAAATGGTTTAATATAATACAAGATTGTGTGATTAATTATTTATATAATAATGGAAAAATATGAGGTTTTAGGACAAGTAGGTGAAGGTTCATTTGGACAGGTGTACAAAGCAAAAAAACGTTCGGATGGTGAAATAGTGGCTTTTAAGGTTATTAGAAAAGTAAGTTGATTTCTTTCTATTGATCATAGCCAGTTTATAAATAACTTAAATATTTTTTGTATCTTCAATTACTACATGGAAATATTTGGATTTCTTACAGCGTGGTAGATCGTCAAAAGAACTTAAAAGTCTACGTCAAGAATGTGAGATTCAACGTCATTTGCATCATCCTAATATTGTACAAATGTTAGATTCTTTTGAAACGGAAAATGAAGTAAGTTTGAAATATTATTCAAATGACATTTACATTTTCATTCAATACTAATTCTTATTAAATTATATTTTTCAGATTGTCGTGGTAACAGAATATGCTGACAAAGAATTATATCAAATATTGGGTAAAGCTGGTCACCTATCAGAAGAAAGAGCTCAAGTCATAGCTTGTGATTTGGTTTCTGCATTATATTATTTACATTCCAATAGAGTTTTACATAGGTTTGTATTTTTGGTAATTCATTATTATATAGACACAATTTTATTTATCTTTCTCATCGGTACAGGGACCTTAAACCTCAAAATGTACTTTTAGAAGCTAATGGAGTGGCCAAATTATGCGATTTTGGTTTTGCACGTAGTATGAGTACTGGTACACATGTACTTACTTCTATTAAAGGTACTCCTTTGTATATGGCTCCAGAACTCATACAAGAACGTCCCTACGATCACAATGTAGATTTATGGTATGTAATTTAAATCCTCTATCATCTTTTAATTATTTAATTAATGATTTATATTATTATAGGTCATTAGGTTGTATAGTTTATGAATTAGTCGTTGGTTGGCCACCATTTCAAACAACTTCTATTTTACATTTGGTTAGACTGATACGTTTTGAAGCAGTCAAATGGCCAGATTTTATTTCACCTAATTGTAAAAACTTTTTACAAGTAAGTATTTTCATAATACTTTGTATTAATAATGTGTACTTTCAATTGTACATGAATAACAATTGTGTTAACTTATGTTTTATTTGGCAGGGATTATTGCAAAAGGATCCATCTCAACGTTTGACGTGGCCTGCACTTTTGGAACATCCATTTGTCAAAGATAGAATCATCATAGTTGGTGGAACAGTGCCTACACCATTTACAACACCATTGTCAGCTAGTCAAGCTAAAGCAAAGCAACAGCAATTACAAAACTTATCAATGAGGGCGACTAATCAATCGAAGTAAGCATCTGCATTAATAGAAACTATAACTTGAATACAAATTTATTGTTTAATATTTTTTAGAGTTCTTGAGAAAGCTGTAGAGAAAGTACAATACCAAGAAAGAAAACTTCGAGAGCAAAGACTGAGAACGTGCATTTCTCAACCACGTTATCCAATGTTTCACCCCCATTGTCAATATGGTTTAAATCCTTGTCAGATTCTTCGTCGCAGTGAACCTAGTGGCACAGATTCGAGTGCTAGCATCGATGTACTTTTGGGAAATCTCAGTTTGCGAGCATCCTTGAGAAGTGATCTACTTGCTGTAGATCATGCACTATGTCAAAGCGATTGTCCTAACACTAACAACAACCAACAAGTGTTTCCAATTGTTAATATTAATTCTAAATCAGTATGTAAAAAATCAAACGACGAGGATCAGAAGAAACCGTGTGAACCTGAAGGATTAAATAAAAATGCTCAAGGTGATGGAGTTAGTGTTGGTCAACAAACGGAAAAATCATCAGAAATTGATCAAATTTCTGGTAACGGTGATTGCAAACAAACTTCTTTGAGTAAAGATTACGAATTAGAATTTGGAAAAGAAAATTTGATTGATAAACACGTAAGATTACCTGATTGGAATCCAAGAGCTGTGGAAAGACCGATTGAAAATGAAGAATGGGTTGCATTTTTACAAAGATCTATGGAAGAAGTAATGGAAGGTGAAGTTGGTTCATTATTGCAACAAAATTGTGTATCAGTTTTTGTTTCACCTTTGAGAAATCAAGGAGCTGGTTATCGAGTTGTCGAATATGTTGCTTGTCTATTATCCTTACCTTTTGTAATATCAGTTTCACGAGAAAATCTTGAAAGTATAGAACGTGTTTATTTGGATGTTCGAGTTGTACCAAATCTGGTTTACGCTATAAAATTGCTTATGTCAGAACGATCTGATGGTGAATCCAATACAACAAATTCTGGGAGTACCAGATCAGCTTCCACATTATCAGCTGATGAATTACAAGCTTTAGAATGTACGATGCTTTTACTCTGTAGATTGGTTTACGTTCAAGAACAATTTCTTACACAATTTTGCGACGCCATATATATTGTTAATGGAATGCCATTATTACAACAATTATTAACTTTGGAAAAAAGAAAGGCACGTGTTGTAGCAGATTTAGTAGCCATATTGAACAACATTTTACGTTCTCAACCAGAGAACGCTGAATTGGTAGAAAAGGTTGTTTTGTATTCAAAAACTCATGGTAAATGTTCAATTATTACTTACATTCTTATCATTTCTATTACATACGTTTTAAATAATATTTTTACTTTCATTTGTTTAAGGAGGTACAGTCGAACAATTTAGCAAACTTCTTACACATCGTCAAGGTGTATTGAGAGCTAGAACGTGTACTCTTGTTAGACTCTTAGGAAGATTTTGTTGTCGAGCATTACAACAGGTTTGGGGTAAATCATTGAAAAATCTTATAGAAAATTTATTACTCGACGAAGAAGAAAACGTCAGACATGTAAGTGAATTGTATTATTTTTTACATAACATCAAATATTATTATTATTCAAAATCAATCATTTTATAGTCTGCTGAAGAAGCGATTGGAGAACTTAAACAATTGACGTATTATAATCAACTGAGTCCTGCTGGTTGAATATACTGATGGTTTATTAATCTATGGAAATTAATAATCGTTATAAAAATGGGTCCAAACGTGTATCACGAATGAATGATCACCAATTTGATAGAACTTTGATAATATCATTGAGAAAAGATTGATATATTTTTATATAAAACTATATCGTAATTAGATAAACTTAAAATATTCTAGTCTTTACAGAAATTCGTGTTATTTCGAGATTAATAGATCTATTCGTGCATACTATGATCGGATTCCTACAAGTTAAACAAATTTAAATATTACTATTATTATTATTGTATTTTTTATATAAAAGAAAAAAAAATTAAACAACAGTTTATATTTTACTTACAAAAAATATCATTGAAGATTATTTTCATTACAAATCCAATGAGGACCAATTAAATGAAAGATCTTCCTCGGATTCACTGGCAGTACTTACTTCTGGTTCACGATTATCACATTCGTCTTTGTACATTGCTTGTAATTTTTCCACGTCGATTTTACTGAGTCCGTTACGTTGGCCGATTTTTGCATCCTCGACCTGTAAAGAAGTTTATAAATCATCATGATTGATCAATCGATCCTACCACCGATCCTGTCATTTATGAAATGCATTTTTTTTTTATTTCAAGGTATCCTTTTTGATTTTTTTACCTTTGGTGTAATAGTTGCCTCGCCGTTAACTGAAAATGCGTGTGCACTGTAATGCATCACGCTGGAATAATCGTAAGACGAACCAAAATCTGTTACGGTATCTCGATCGTATTTTTCAAAATTATGTTCCTTTCCTGTAAAAAGAATTTATTATTTATAATGATTAGTATTTTTTATTATTTTCTGACTAAATTGTATTCAAGTTTCAGTATTCAGTATTCAATTTCTATAATATATTTAATTTCATAATTAATAATAGGATTTAGTTTTGCAATTTTCAATATATAAAATATATAAAAAAAATTTATACCGCCAACAGAGATAATCATGATTCTTTGTTAATAAACAAATAATTCGCAATAAAATAATATTGCGAATTATCCTATCTTTCAAGTTGAATGAAATTGCACACAGTGTGGAAAATTTTATTCAAATCGGTTCAGTAGTTTAAGAGTCCATTGAGGACAAACAACGTGACACCTAATTTATATATATAAAATATATAAAAAAATATGTAAATATAAATAAATAAAAAATATATAAAATTAAATATTTATTTAATAATATAAATTTATTAATAAAAATTAATAATAATAATAATTATTATTCTTATATTTAAACTAAATTAATTGAAAATAAAACCGAGTTCCCTTTCTAATTCAAAATTATAAGAAAATGAAAAGATCATATGCATATATAAATATATAATAATAATAATATCCCATAAAAGCAAAAATACCATTGTCTGAAATGCAATACATACCTGGTTTTATGTTGTCCCAGTGTATTACGACCCATTCGTCACGGTTCGCTGCACTCTGTTGGTGATAAAATCCTAAAGCGTGCATCAACTCGTGAACAACGACACCATGCCTTACACATCCGTCAACTTGCAAGTTTAATACCTGTCCTTTACCATGACGACCCACCATGGACCAACATCCAGAACTTTTACCTTGTATTCGGACATAATCAATATCGGATTCTTTGTATGGTCGAAAACGTAAACAACTTCTAGTGTGATATTCTTTTATTGCATCTTTTATCACTTCGATATCTGATCGATCTGATGATAAACAAACATTAAATACAAACAACAAATTTAATTATTAAATCAATTAATGTTGTTAATATAATTATAAAATGAACATGTGTGTTTATGGTTGTTAAAAAATAGGATTAAAATGATAAAACAACTCAACTTTTTAATAGAATTTGTTGTTGTTTTTTTTTTTTTTGAAATTAATTAGAGATCAAACACAATTGTAATTATTTTGTACATTTTCTTTTTCTTTTTATATCTTTACAAATTAATTTATTTATTTGTTGATTATATGTAGTTAAATAATTTCAATGCATTTGTGTGAATATTATGCAATAATAATTTTTATTTAATATTTTCATTTTTATTGTGTTGATTTGCATTGATTCAAATTTTGTTTTTATTGTTATTGTAATTTTAATCATTGACACTTTGTTTTACTTACCAAAATCTTCTTCTTCAATGTAATAAGGTACAGTTGCATTAGGCCAACGAGTTGTAGTATCCAAAAGACCATTTCTATTGTTACCTTTATGATTTAAAGGTAACATTATGTCACCTTGATAAAGTCCACTCAATTCCCATATATTTTCTGGATCTTCTGGTTTCCATGAGTTTATTCTTCTTGCTGCCAACAAACAATAATTCCTAATAATCATAATTTTATATTTAACATATCCCAATTAATTATCTCATTCAAATTATTCATGTTAGTGTTACAAATATTATTTACAATTTTATTTATCACATTCAACATGATTCAATTAATTGAAAATATGAATTATAATCTTTCACATTTTTCTTTAAAACAAAACAAAAAACTCTTACCAATTTCTTCATGATTATGTCCATCCTCGAATCGTCCTTGATTCCTTGGTTCAGGTGGTATCGGATGTCCATGAGATCCTCGATGACTTTTTGAAGGAAATCCGGTGCATATTGCAACCAGTATCATAAATAATAATACTTGTAAAGTAGTAGTAGTCATCGTTATGACAATTCTTCAAAAACTGACGATAGTTTATAGACAAAATGTCCTTTTATATACTAACCGAGAATGATTATTGTTGTTTTAATCACGGAAGGACTACTTCCCTGATAATACGATATGTAAAACAGGTGTGTGTGTAGCCTATTTTAAATAACAAAAAAAAAAAAAACCTTACAGTAGGTAGGTGTGAATAACAATGCGTTTTATTATCGAGTGGTTTTAAAAGTAACGAACGGTTGCTAAATGTTATCGATTTCATCGAATACCACTGATTTATATATATATATGTGTGTGTGTATGTATATCCTTTCTAATCCTATTTTTTATTTTGCTTCATAAAACGTGTAATTGCATTGATATTAATCAACCTATCTAGTTTTATATCTTCAAGATGCAATCAGCAAACTTTTACGGCGCAAATAAGATCAACGTGTTCTTTCTTCTATGTTATTGTAAGTAATTAACCGATAATAAATTTATCTATATGAATGTGTTTATGTCTATGTGTAAGTGTGTGTATGTGTGTGTGTTAATAAAAGAACAAAGTACACTTTCGTATCATTGACAAAACGTGCAAATGTTTATAAATGTTTTATGTATACGTTTCCTTCTTTTTCTTTTTCGTTAGTTGGTTTGACTAACACATGAACAAAACTAGAACACTAAGTTTGACTTTTATTTAGGTCGAAAATCATTTGATAAGAGGGTAGAATGTGAACTGAATTTCAATTCTTTGCTTTTATCGTATTTCTTGACGTTAGCACGATTTATCGTATTTTTATGAAACTCGGTTTTCTAAATTTAATTAAATTCATTTTTACAAATCAAAAAGAGAACATATTTTTTTTTTTCTAAAATAAACGTAAACGTTAAATAATAATTTGTTAATTAAATAAATGAAAAAGATTGTTAACATTTGTAATATGAGAATTTGATCAGGGTGTTCACAAATGACAACAGGGTCTCACAATCAGTCCGATACACACGTCTTTAAGTCAATGAATTATCTTATACCGATTATAAATTGAGATATAAACTATCCTATCTTTCAAGTTGAATAAAACTACACACAGTGTGCAAAATTTGATTCAAATCGGTTCAGTAGTTTAGGAGTTCATTGCGAACAAACAACGTGACACGTAATTTATACATATTAAGATTTACGGTTTGTTTTAAGGTTTAGGTCAGAATTATTACTGACACATAGTATGAACAAATTTCTAATATTAAACCCCTAATGTGTTTAATATTCATCAATTCAACAAATCAATCAACATACAAATTAAAAGTTAAAACCATGAAACATATTACAAAGATGTGAATATATTTTTGTAAGTTATATCAACGTCAAATGATTTCAGACATTGAGATCAAAAAAAAAGAAAAGGAAAAGATAATAATATAAATAAAAATTAAAAGAGAGAATAAATAAGATACGACCACGATAATATCTTTCAATGTGCTAGATACAAATCAATCAATTCAATGTCTCTAATCATTTGACAATCATTATTTCGATCTGTCTGTTGTGTTCATCCAAATTGAGAAGAAAAAGTTAGACGAGAGACTGATACGATACGATCCAATCTCTTATAAATCTTTCTTTCTTGTTTTTTTTTCTGCAGTTGAATGCCCAAAAAAAAAAAGTACAGCGGAAATAAAATAATAAAATAAAAGAAATGATGAAAAAAATAAAATCTAAAAAAAGAAGCAGAAACATTTTGTCTGTGTCCTGTAGACCTTGTGCATGTGTGTTGTGTATGTGTGTATGTGTGTGTAGGTAGAAAAGAAGCTGGTCATAAGAAAGAGGCGCCCGATCGAATCTCCGGCATCCCGAATGCTCGAGGCAAACACTCAGATGTGGGTCAGAATGATTCGGTAGCCGGCCGCGTAATTCAGTACATCGGTATATTATCTTCTTCATCGTTTCGTGTGCCTTTCCCTCTGGGCCTCTCCACCGAGAACGGGCCCCACCAACAACGGTGGACCTCACATCCTTTTTATCTTCCTTCTCTTTCCTTTCTTCTTCTTCTTCTTCTTCTTTCCTTCTTTATTTTCATGTTTCTTTTTTTTCTGTTCTTTCTTCATCTTCATCTTCATATTCATCTTCATCATTAGTTTCTATTATTTATTATTTCTATTGTTTTTATCTTGGTTGATCTACAATCATCTTCATTTTCCTTTTCTTTTATTTTTTTTTTTACTTTCTTTCTTCATTTTCACCTTCACCTTCATCTTCATCTTCACCCTTATTTTCTATTTCTCTAATATTTTTCTTTTTTCTTATATTAGTTAATCAACAATCATATTAATCTTCTTTCTTTTTTCCTTTTCTTTTCCTTCTCTTCATCTTCACCTTCATCTTCAGTCTTATCTTCAACTTCATCTTCATCTTTATTTCTTTTTCTTGATTGTTTTAGAACAAGACAGTAGAACCAACATCAATAGCAATTGTATTTTTTATTGACTATTACTATTACTTTTTTCTTCTTCAATTCTTTGCCACAATTCTCAGAACAGAGATGAGAAGATGAAGAAGGTGAAGATGAAGAAGAAGAAGAAGAAGAAGAAGCTGAGGCCACGTACGAGAGAGGCGAGAGAAAAAGGCGTGCAATTATAATCGCGTGAAATTAACGGTTGCGATTACGTGCCTCAGATGATGATGAACCATCGTATCTTTGGTTAATGTCTCGTTTCTTCTTACGACCCACAAATATTCATGACGAATTATTATACCTCTTTGGATAAACACTTCCGGTTCAAAGTGAACTTATGTTTCGAACAGTAATGTGATTTATTTTCATGGCTTTTTTCCCCCTTTTTTTTTTTGCTTTAAGTTAAGGAAGGGAAGAGTAGACTTTATTTGGATGATTGTTTTTTGACCATAAGTTCAGTTTGTTTTTTTAGGTTTTGATTGTTGCAATCTGTTATCAAATCTCAAATGTCTCAAATCAATAGGAATCTAAGGGTTCGTTAGAAAACTTTAAGTTGCTAGGTTTTAAACCACACCACACGTACATTCATACACCTAAAGAGGTGAAGCAAAAAAGAAAAAAAGAAAAAAAGAAATATGAAAAAAAAAGGAAGGCAAGATAGTCGTGTCCTCTCTTTGCGTATAGTCGTGGCCGAAAATCTCGAAGGCAGAAAATTGAAGGCAAGGCCATTGACCGTGGCGTTCCAGATTCGGGTAGGAACGCGTTCCTCGTAGCCTAAATTCTAACCGGACTTCTTGGAACCTCAAATGCGAACAAGAATGACTCTTTCACGCTTCATACGGGGAGGGAGTTTGACTTTTACGAGTATCTAACGAAAAAGATGAAAGATGATGACGATGATACCCCTTTTGGCACATTCCTTTTATCTCCTCAACTCTTTCATAAACCCTTTTCATAAACCTATCCCTTCTTTCAAACCCTTTTTTCACCTATCCGATCAATACACTTGCAAAACTAATCCTAATGAACTTGAAAATGATTTGTTTTTTTGGCTTAGCACTGTAAACTTGTTGAAAATTTAGAATTGCATAATTTGGATACGGAAATTGGTACACCAATTTGTAAAAAGAAACAATTTAATTACGTTATTTATTAATTAAAAAATTCCTATTGCACAAATGGTATATTTTATTTTGCTACGACTTTTGCTGAAGATGAAAGTACCATTTGGTTAAATTGTTGAAAACTTAGACTTGCATAATTCCAATACAGAAACTGCTACACCAATTTTTAAAAAACCATAAGTTAATTGCATTATTTGTTAATTAAAAAATTCCTATTGCATAAATGGTATATTTTATTTTGCTACGACTTTTGCTGAAGATGAAAGTACCATTTGGTTAAATTGTTGAAAACTTAGACTTGCATAATTCCAATACAAAAACTGCTACACCAATTTGTAAAAAACCATAAGTTAATTGCATTATTTGTTAATTAAAAAATTTCTATTGCATATATGATATATTTTATTTTGCTATGACTTTTGCTGAAGATGAAGGTGTGTGTTATTTTTCTATCGGTTATGACAGAAATGATTTTAAAAAATACGATTAGTTTATTTAATATTTTTTTTTGTATGTTAGATCGCGATCGAGAAAAAACTTAATTCGTAAACGAATTATGATACTTTGTATGTGTATATGTATGTGTATGTGTGTGTGTGTGTCCGAATTGGTTAACTCGAGATACCTGTCAAGATCAACGCTTTACGATGCCAATGTAAATTCTTCGATCTCGCGACAGCTCGGCGCCAAAAGATCGCTGTGTAATTTGCGGTGAAATTGCGATTGGATCGCTCGTAAATTTCATTGGATGCACGCAAACCAGATGAGTAGGAGGAGGAGAAGAAAAAGGTGGTGGTGGTGGTAGTGGCCAAGGGGAGGGGGGAGGGAAAGAAGGAGGAGTAGGAGAAGGATCAAAATGAAGCCGCGTTAAAACAAGCGTATTGTCACGTACGATGATAAAATAAAGAGTCCCATGATAAAAATTGCAATTGTAAGAAATTATTTGTTTAAATTATCGTCCAATTTATAATTGGAAATATTTTTATTTATTTTTGAGTAATTTTATTTGTTCAAATCGTTGCGCAACCAATTGCGAGAGGTTTCGTTTTTGTTTTATTGTGTTTTTGCAACTTTGTGATACTTTGTTGTATTTTGTGGTATTTCCTTTGTTTTTTTTTTTATAATTTGCCGCATTATGGTTGATATATATATATATATATATATATATATATATATATATATACTTAATTGCATAATAGCCTATTTAATCTTACAACTTTGTTGAATGTTTTTGTTTCCTTTTCACTCTTCAATCTTCCATCGTATTTTCGGTAAATCACACATAATTGAATAAAAAAATTGTTAAATTCTCTTTTAAGAGAGAGAGAGAGAGAGGAGAGACTTTGTGTACCACCGACATGATATTTTAACCGCTATTATGTTAACTCACACTACTATAATACTTTGTGCATGTAACCGCATCTTTAAACGTAGGTGAATCACTTATGGTGAAGTTTCACTTGCTCCACGGTGTATATAGGTTTACTTCATCAACCAATTTTTCTTCTTCTTATTTTGATTTTTATTTAAAGAAAGTCTTACACCTATCATATTACCCGAAACGAAAAATTGATCCACCAAGGTACCCTCTCAAAAGTTTCATCTTTTGTAAAACTTTTGCTTAAGTGTTTTTAATTAAATTTTCAATTATACGAATCTTATTTTTATAATGTTTTAATTTAAAATATATAAAAAGAAACAAATGAAAGATTGAATGATGAAAAATGGAAAGAATAAAAATGTTTCCCATTTTATTCAAAATTTGGGCCTTCAATTGCACGAGGAGTTCAACAAAGAAGATTAAAAAAGATGAATAATAAAAAGACAAATTCTTTTGTAGCAAAATGTTAAAAAATTGTGTTACTTCGTTGTGATGAATTTTTTTTTAAGGTTATCATCGTCATTTCAATCAACCGATACGATTTTGTAGAATCTATCAGAGTTGAAGTATCCGATACACACACCTCTTGTTGAGTGGTACATTCTTAAAGGTGGAAGGTGAGTTGGAGAAGTAAGCAAAGCATTCAAGCAAGCAAGCAAGCAAGCATTCAAGCAAGCTTCGAGAGCATGTTTCGAAGTGCGATATTGCGACGACGGAGATATTTTTAGCTGCACAACAGTTAACCTCTTTATCCTGCTTTACGATCCTCGAAGAACGCAGCACGTCGATCTTTTCTGCGGTACCATTTTCTTTCTTTCACATATTATTATTATTAATAAATATTCTAATAATTAATTCATTGATGATTCACAAATGATTCT